ATTTTTAATGAGTTTAAATAGATTTACGAGCCATTTTTGCCTGCTTTCATTCCAATCTTTTCATAAGCCAGCTATGCATATACCTGAAGACTTAATTAGCTAATTATTTTCCCGTCGAACCATTGAATATACCCGTACTTGCTTTTACATTTTGTGGATTCTTGCCTTCGGAAAGGAATCCCTTAAACTAAAAATCCGATAATGCACTGGATGACCACGCGAAATATAAAAAAAACTAAGACAGTGATATTTGGTTAAAAGAGATGTCGTAGAAGATGTAGATGGATGCCAGCACCGCCTCTTCACAGGCATCCATTGGTTAACGCATTCCGATAATTGTCACAGTTTCAGCCCTCTCCTCTGAACCTCATCCAGGATTTTTCAAAAAACACCCCTCTGAACACTGAATAGGCTACACTGTCCCAAATAGATTGACGATTTCTCAAGTATTACGAGTGGCATGTGAGTTGGCTGCGCAGAGACTCAAGCAGGTTCCGAAAATTGAATTAACTCGCCTGTCGTAATTGGCAACGTAAGTCGCATTCATCGCCTCTTCATCGAGACGGCAACTGCTAAGACGTAGTCTTAAACTCATACAGTTAAAGAGTGAGAATTTATTTAAAAAAATTGCTACCACTGAGTTCACGAAGAAGAAGAAGAAGGCAGTGACAGCAACAAAGGAAGGGAAATCAGGACCAATCGGCGTGGGGATTACTGAAAAATTCCATTGTCCTAAAATCGCCAAGTCATAGGAATAATTTAGACAAAAAAACATGAAAAGTTTTCCCGAAATCCTTGCTTTAGCGTGCTTTAATTCTCAGTCGGTTCCATAATGTTGGGGATCCACCATTCGTGAATCCGGATTTCGGTATTGTTTACACAACTCCCCTAACCACACCCACAACACCTCACTGACATCTGTGTAAGTTCGTCTTGACCCATCAGATCAAGGTCATCCCTGGCTGAGACCGTAAAAGCCCTCCTCATAACGTCTTTTATTTATCTTATCCTGAAATGATTGGGTCTAGCGTCAGACGAGAGATCTGGGTAACCGATCATCTGGGTACGTGGTTCAGATTACGGACTGAACGCAACACACTATCTATTTCATTACCATAAAGATTAAAATCAAAATAACTAACAGGCGCAAAATTGGTTTTCAAATAGTCTACACGGAAGGATACAAATTAGGACAAAATGCATTTTTAAGATCTATTTGCTAAGCGACTACATCGTCCTGATAAACGAGGTTAATTTCATTAGTCGTATCGTGACTTCAACTGATTTTTCTCAAAAATTCAAGGCAACCTTCGAGCTGGGTAAAATTTGTGCTCAAAAAAGATATGCTGTTAGTTTTGAACTGCGACACTGTATGCGTTTAGGACCTCTCGATTTAAGGCGACGTTCGTGCTCATCAGGGCTTCTGACAACTGATTCACCTGTAATTCATTTAGCCACAACCTGAAATTCATCCATTTTCAAATGGTAGCATAGGAGATTTCAGTCCAGGATGGCTACTGACTCTGAAAACTGCATTTTTGTTTCGACACTTGTAGAGATCTACGCGATAACCAGATCCGTACTTTTTATAACTCCTAGGCACACGCCAACAGGACCAAAGTAACGCAATATGGAGTTGAAAGTTTCTGGTTTCGTGGCCAACCAAAACCGAGGTGCTGACGATCAGCTGGCCGTGTTTAAGGAAACTGGCAGGTGATCTTTCTTGAGATTATGAGTCAATATTGGCTCATTTATGTGATTGTAAGTCGCACATTGCAGTTGTCCATAAGCTGGCCCTCCAAGGCAACCACTTTCCCATCGAGACGAGGATTAATTGAACCACCATCGGAGGTGGATTTGATCCGCTTTTCTTGCTACCCCGTATCTGCGTAGATTCCATGCCCCGTTGGGGTATGTAGTGGCCTCCGGTATAATTTGGCAGCCACACCAGGGCCGACGATCTACGTTGACACGGCCTGACCAAGAAAGAAGGGAGATGCAGATGATGCACACCTCACCTAATCTGTTAATGCAGTAGTAGTCTGATTTAGCCCCGTTTCCAGGTGGAATTATCTAAAAAATTTCACCGTTAAGACCGGGTAGATACTGGATGGGTCGCATATGAAAATTTGGGAAACGGATGAAGCTTACTACGTGGGAGATTTTGTAGCAATGAGCAGCAAGAAGTATCCCGTGACAATTATCAGTCCTCACGGTGCTATCCTTATTCATATGGAATTTTTAATTGGAGGATTAGTGGAGTACTACCAGCTGATGGATACAGCCAAGCCAAAAACATTTTTTTGAAATAATTAAGATTCACCAGCAGTCTCTGTTAAGGTGTTTGTTTGGCAGTCGAAATTTGTGTCTATTTTGCGACTGTCTGATGAGAGATGACTCCCTTCTCACTTACACTGAGGTACTAGGTTCACTGTTTGTGCTGTGTAAGCTAATGGAGCCAAACCCTTGTTCAGCAGTAATTTAAGCCGCCTAAGATGTTTACTAAATACAGCACTGGCTTAAGATTCAGGCAAGTAATATGTTGCGGTCCTGGTAAGGTTTGAAAACCACACCGAAAGAAGAGGGGAAAAATGCAGATGGCGCGTAGCTTAACTTATTTGTTGATGCGGTAATGGTATATAAATAACAAGTGCGCTTATATGGCTTCGCCAATTATCGGTCTGAATGAACATGGTGCATTTAGGTAAATCACGTGCATCATGATAGCTGTCTAGAGGCTGAAAATAAAATACTTAATTTTGATTGGTTTGGACACTTAAATTCTGGCCAATAGGTGGCAAGTATCAGTGAATCCAAGATCTGAAGTTAAATTCGGTGTACCATGCACTAAAATCTACTTTAAATTATAAACACCACGTGATTTGAGACTGCACTGAAAGTTTGAACCTTACCAAACGCACATTCCGCACGAACTGCGACGTGATGTACAACAAAGTATAACCTGTTGAATTATTTGGAAAGTCTCTGTACTCAACGCCGCGATGACAAGCGGCAGTTTTCTTGGCCTGTCACAACCCTCTTCCATGGGGCACGCCCACCATACCACGGGATTTGAGCTTTCTCTCTTCCCTGCTCTCTCTCGCTCTCTCTCTCACTGCTCCTCTTTCCCGTTGTAGTCACAGTGGTAGTAACAACAAAAACGAAAATTAGATGCTAAAGCTCGCTCTCTCTCTCTCTCTCTCTCTAATCTAACCATTTTCCTTGTTTAATGAAGCGCCGGTCTAGTTAGCTTTAGCTCATCGGATAACCATCGAATGACACGTTTAAAAAACATGATTTTTTTTAACCAGATACACTCAGACAGTACGTCACTAGTGGTAATATTAAACCACTAGCCGCCTTTAACGCAAAACGTAAATTTTCGACTAACCAGGGAGCCATATTTATGGAGAACGCTCTAGAATTCTAGTATTCTAGTGTGTGTGACGAGTGAAGGCCACCAAAATGAATCGGCGCAACAAGTTGGCTACCAACATTTGCCAAAGTCCCGTGAGCTAGGGTTCGAGTCTGGTAGAAATCTTACCTAAATTGTCAACAGCAATTTGGATATCCGAGCCTTGTCGATCCGGCAACATCAGGAGGTTGTTAAGAGGGACTGTTTCACCCCAAAACGATCGATTTCAGCCTGCAAACTAAACATCCCAGTTGTCTGACGCAGTCAACGTCAAGCCCTGTCTGATTCTGACGCGAACACTGCGAAATGGCAAATACTTGTCGTGAATCCTGTTTATTCAATCCTCAAATCCGGTCGCTCCACTTCCTACACAGGGTTCCCCTTGTCGCAGAACGTCGCCAGCCGCACGAATCCTCAACTTCCCCTTCATTAACCCGAATATTTATCTTGGATTATCCTCACACCTAGGTCTCGATGTTAGCGCATTTATAACTCACGCATCCGAGGTAAAAATACACACGCGCAAACACCACACACGACATAGAGATACCAACGTGGTTGACCTCTGAAGTAAGAGCTTGTGTCCACGTCCTCTCCAGCCTTTTCCTTTATCGCGGGTATCAGGCAAGCTTAATCGGGCCAGAGGTAATTCCGTGGCCCCGGCGTGGTTCAAGACCACATGCTGGGGCCCACAACATACTAACTACTAATTTTGAGTATTCTGTCTGAGAAAACACACGAACACTTGCAAATTTGTCTAGAACAACTGAATCATCACAAACAGAAAACATGCAAACGTGCATTAGCTTGTAACCTGTCAATTATGACTACAATTTTCTCATCACAACTGTTTGAATCAATCAAATTCATTCCAGCTAAGGAAACCGCTACAAAACGATCAAGATTTAAGTATGTCTCCTTTCCAGTTAGATCAAGTCCATAGACATGCGCAGACTAACTACTTGTTAAAATTAAGCAGGCTTTATTTGGAAAGTAACCTGATGTCTGTGTTTAGATCCGTTAGAAATCCAGTTCGGACTAATAGCGCGAAAAACCCATTATTCGCAGATTGGTCAGCCGAGTTTAACTAAGAGAGCAGCACAACCTGCATTGGATTGTCCTGGATTCGTAAGAACATGACTACCTGGGGCCACATTCCAGTAACCAAGACGGTAAGCAATAACCACTTGTACCATCGTTTACTTTCACTATTGTAGGCGTAGTCATGGTAACGGTGACAATTACGAGGGCGTACTTTGTAGTTTGTACTTTAGCCGGTGGGGGTAATTGTGTCGCGCACTTGAGATTACCACTACTGTGTCAGCTAATGACAAAAACACCATCATTTCGTCGAGCCCAGATCATTGGAAAGAGAGATAGCACGCGAATTCAATCTGGGTGTGGGTTTATTCAATAAATGCGTCGACCACCATACAATGTGCCAAACTAAACCATGGTACGATGGGAGTGCAAAGGGGTGTTTAACTGAACAGACATCTATTTACAGCAGGGAGAGGCCAGGGTGGTGTAAAGTTAGGGCGGTGAGTGAGCCGAGATCAAAGGAAATTCACACGAACAGCAGCGTCTACGGACGCCGCACAGAGGAGGACGTCGATGTGGAGACCCGGTGGTGCTGCTGGAAGGAGCTGGAGGCCTCCACTTGGGCACTTCGAGGGTAGGGGTGACGGTGGTGGTTGGAGGAGGAGGAGGGGAGGACCAAGGGGGTGGAGTGGTTCCGTCGACTCAGCTCCAACTCGGAGTTCGAAAACCTACAAACAGTACCTCAAAAATTACCACACGGCGCCAAAATTGACTTCGAGGGAGACGTGGAAGGCACAATTACCCTGTTCGCGGAGAGTAGGTGGTTTTGGAAAGACGTGAGTCCACTGGTTGGTTGAAGAGATCGACTTGGGTGGGGGATGCAGACACGAGGGTTGTGGGAGTGCTGTTACCGATGCCGGTGGGATTCGCGACTTGCGTGCGACTGCCCGAGGAGTTGGGAAAGAGGGGTGTGGCGTGGTTGCGAATGCCCGTGCGTTGCCACTTGAGTCGTAGCTGCTTTACCCTAATAAACAGTCGAAACAATCGACTCTGAGGTTAAGCAGTGTGGAGGCGTTGGAATGACGCCGAAGGAAGGCGCTTTAACTCACCTGTGGATGACCATGACACAGCGGGCGGCCGCGCGGAAGCGAACAAGCGCCGGGCGAGATTCCAGAGGCCACTCCTGCGCGTCCACGTCGTTGCCCTCGACGTCCTGTCGGCTGGAGGTGCCCATCAGCAGGCCCTGTCCGAGGCTCGCCGTCACCCGCTGTACCGAGTGCTGGAAGTCGCCCAGCAGGAGAAGCAGGTACTGCTTCTGGTAGACAAGCGCCCGCCGATACGACTCCATGCGCAGGTACCGCGCCGACATGTGCCGGAACTACACAAAGCCAAACAGGAAAAGAAGAACGTCAACGGACGGCTATCAACGTCGTGAAAATACTCAACTTGACTTCGAACTCATAGAAAATGTGAACCTGAAACAAAATCGAGTTACCATTTCAGTGGCAGTGTCGTCGTTTGCCAGCGCTAAAGACTGCTAGAAGAGAATTAGAAATGGACAGGATCAAACAGACGTGACAAGTTGACACGCTGTCTTACCTTTTCAAGGGGTACTGCCCGGGAATCGCCTGACGACTGATGGTCGGTGACGATCGAGCACTGAACCGATTTGCTATCGGTGGGCGGCTTCAGTGAAGGGGAAAAAACAATGGCGTTAGTGAAACACCAGAAGACTAGGAACTGGTCTATACTTTTTTTTTTAAATATTAAACTCACTCTGAAACCCAAGACATCATCGCCGGTGGCTCCAACCTTCGCCAACTCCAAGTCTAAACGAGCCACACCACTGAGAATCATCTGTTTCGCCTGAGAAAGCGCCGTGTTGGCGGCGGGAGAACCAGAGAAGGCATCACCACCACTGCCAGCACCTCCAACAGGCACCATGGTGCGTACTTGGGCTTCGATCTCTGACACGCACGCGTAAACGTCGATGGGGCTGGTGTGCTCCATGTAGTCCAGTCGGCCAGACGGCGTCTGCTTGCCCCGGAGCATGGCGTGTCTCAGGAGTTCGGCGGGATTGTTCAGGCTGTCGGAGGACGACGAGGAGGAGGACAGGGGGCCGGCCGTGGAAGACACGAGGCGAACGAGACGCATGCAGGTGAGGTAGAGGCGTCTGATCTCGACAGGGGCGTCGGCGAAGCCCGAGTCGGTAAGCTGCTTGGGAAGAGGCTGTCCAAACTCCCCGGAGGGACTCTCATCCTCCCCGCCGCTGTTGCTTCCGTTGACCAGACAGAGGTGGCCATTCTCCTTGTCCAGACAGGCCGGCAAAAGTGCGAGCTCGGCCTCGGCCATGGACACGCGAAGACCTTGGTTGCAGGCCTGTATTCGAAAAGACAACTTTCAGTGAGATGGTGGAAAAACTCGCAAGACACCTGGAGATGTCCAGTGGCAGTGAGCTTACATGCAGGTCGCGCGACAACTTTTCCGCCTGGATGGCCTGACGACGAAGCGACGCGAGTTGGTTGGACACACGAGAGATGGCTGAGTAGTCGTCCTTTTTCACAACCGAGGTTGTGAGAGGCACCCCACCGTTGATGCTCACCTTTGGACCATTCCGAACGTGTGACCTAGAACATGGTGGGAGTAGATGTTAGTCAACCGACCCCACAACTTGGCTAAAAGCGGCTGAATCACAATTTGCGTCAAAGTGATTTCAAGTTGATAGAAGAAAATTGCCAAGACCAGATAAACGAGCAACGACAGGGAGTTGACGACCAAGTATGGATCAAATGCCAAGTTAACTGCACCACACCTAGACTTTTGTGGATAGGGTAATTAGCGCATGAGATGCAACTCTAGGGATGCAATTGTCTGCCTAATTCAGCGCGGTAGATACGAAAAGGATGTGGTTGAATTTAGTGCAATACGAGAAGTGAACGTACAGCTTCAAGGCCTTAATTTCCTGCTCAAGCTGGGCAATTCGGGTTTCGGCTAGCTCGCTTCGGTTCCGCTCCAAGCGCACGTCGGAGGAAGATTTCTGCAAGGAGGATAAACAACGGTGAATTCAATAATTGAGTGAGAAGTGACACGTAGTGGGAGGTTCGGTGAAAATTGTCAGTAGCACTGATTGCGACCATAAAAATGCGAAGTTAGGAGAAAACGCGGTGGCTGAACCAAGGAGGCCAGCTGCACGAACCTGGAGGTCGCGTTCGAGCGAGCGGACTTGTTCGCTTGCCCGACTGACGGCGTCCTGGGAGGAGGCGAGTTTGGCCTCTAGATCGGCGATTCGTTCCCGCTCCTCGTCAATTTGGCGCCTGCAACAAAAACAAGGGGGGGCTGGCGTCATTAACAAACGCCACAAGACCTCACACAGAACACGCAACACCAGAAGGGAAACACACGAGAAAAAAATGGTTGAGCCACCCACTGGGGGCTTGGATTCGAGCGGAAAGGTGAATTGCTTTAATTAGCGACTAGCGCGCCTGTGGCAAGGAGTAGATGTGTGTGCGAAGCGAAATCAATTGCTAGTAATCACGAAATGTGAAGCAAATTAGAAATCTAGGATACTTGCGTGACAAGCATGCACTCATGATAAATTATTCGAACAGCGAGGGTCATGTGATACAGAACTAGACGCCCCGACGCTGGTTTGGCAAATTTTAGGCATTCAAGGCGATGGGACATCGGCATTACCGCGTTGTCGATAGCCTGGTGCGTGAAGGCGTGCGAAACAGCAAGGTAGGGCTTAAGCGAGGTGAGAAACGAATGCAACAACCAGCGCTGACACGCATGTTTACGCCATGCCTGTGCCTGAGTGAAGTGTAAATGGCGCTAGCTAGGTATGGCAACTTGAAAACTTCCCGCAAAACAAGACTGCCAACTCATGACCGTCAGCATTCCCATGATTTGACTGTGAGTAAACACAACCCACGGAGTCCTATAACCGCCTCAAGAGATGGCACCACGGTATTGTCACGCATTCGCCAACGCTCAGGACTGTTTTAATGACAACGATACCAGTCGACCAGGTCGATTTTGGAAGCAGAATGAAATCCAAGCAGCCATCACCAATGCGGAAGCCGTAATTTGGGTATTCATGGCGGTGGTTTTCTGGAGGAAATCTAAGAAGCACCCTGTGTTTGGTGTGCGACTAAACTAATTGTGGTTTCAGTTTGTTCAACGATCTACCACAGCCGAAAAACGGTGCTTAGATTGAATCAGACACTGCTGTGGCGCAAGCAAAAGTTCAAATCTCTTCCCAAATATGCGAAAAATGGTGGAAAGGTTGTCCACAGAGGTGGGTGGAACATGAACAGGAGCATAAATTTGCGGTTACCTTTCTGACACAGCGGCAATAATAGCCAGCCTGCATTTGGCACGGGAAAAGCTTACATCGCCAAGTGTTCATGGTGCACGCGTCAGTGAAACGATTAAGACATTATCGAGGTCATCGAAAACGTTGCCACCTCACAACAGACGATGAGAACACCGGAAGGGATTACGCTAGTAATGTAGCCCATCGACGAAGACAGATTTAGACCCACTGTCGTAGCACACACACTAGTGATTCTTCAGAAATTTATTCTTCTTGAATCACACACACGACCCTCCTACGCGCAAATCCAGTGATATTTTTACAAAAAGCCACACTGTGTGGCAAGCGCACACACAGCGGTGGCACAAAAACAGGCAATATTGGAGTGACTTTACCTTGACAAGTTGAGCTGGTTCTCGCTGACAGCCCTCGCTTCATCAAGCTGCTTCCTGAGGCTCGACACTGCTGCCTCCAGCGTCTCCACTTGCGCCGACAGTGCAGTCATGGCGGATGCTTTCTCGGCCAACACGCCATCTCGAGCTGCCAGTTCCTCAGTCAGGTGAGCGACTAAGAAATTATTAAAACAAACCAGATTGCAAGTGGACACTTGTGAGCCACACAGCCGAACACTTCAGCACCTCGGCCAGAAGGGAGCACCTTACCTTCATCGAGGAGAAACTCTTCGCGCTTGTTCAAGGCGTCCACGTCGGCCAGGAGGGTCGTGCGATCAGAGGACAGGGCCGAAGATAGGACATTCCATCGCTGAAATAGTGCAAAGATGAAGCGAGCGTTTTCAGTGAAATCTGCCAGTAGCTAAAGTCTGTGCGTGAGTTCTTTGTTTGCCACGTTTCATTAACAAAACATGCTCGGAACGCAAACAAAGTGGGCAGTTCCGTTGCTGGGTGTAAATCCACGATTCGATTGACAGGCGTCTCTAATCACTATACGCGGCAAGTTAAAAAGAAATCTCACAGAGTTTAATTGTTAACTGCCAGGACAAAAGCCGTTGATAACTGACACACGATAAAGACGGCGCTGTAAACAACTCAGACAACGAAATCTTCAAGTGAGACTACCTCCTCCTCCGTGTTGGCGTAGTCCGCCAGTGCCTGCATGACGTCACCGATGCCGAGCGAAGGAGTGCCTTTGAGTCTACCGGAAGATGACTGCGGCACAAACCCGCCAAGAGCAGCGTTCGACATCTGATCGATTGTAGACGACGTGACGAGCGACAGAGTGGCCTTCCGATCGGCAAGAAGAGCCGACAGCAGGCCTGAGTAGAGTCTGTTCGACAAGAAATTAGCTCCCGACATCGGCGTAGTCTCGTCCCTTGTTGGTGTTCCTGCTTGACTGAGTGAATGGCAAGTCTGTTCGCTCTGGAATATAAAAATCCGATATCGATTTTACCACTTTGAAGACGAAGCAGGACAATTTGAGTGAAGAACACACGGAAGGCAGACTGGTGTACAACCACAAAGCTTACCTGTTTGGTGACTTCCTCAAGTGCAGATTTGAGCATTCTGTTGGCCTCGATTAGACGAGTAATAACCTGCGACTTGTAGTCCGTGGGGTCGTCTGGCTGCACAGCGGCATCTGGATGATCAACTGCTTTCAACGATAAGCTCAAAAGGCGACAACTTTCGACCTGCAAGTGGTCAACAGCAGCCTAACAAAAGCAAAGACAAACAGTTACAACCAAACAGGAATGAATTTAAATCTGTTGGACGGAAATACCAACAATATGCTAAGTAAAACATGCAAATGTGTGGCTACCTTGACCTCCTCGGTAGTACGAGGTGCAGCGGATTCGACGGCGGCATTTTGCGGGGGTGAAATGACGTCCCCATCGAAGGGCAAGTCATCCTCGCTAGCGCAATCGGTGTCTCCACAGGAATCTGTTTTCGCGGTGTGCGGTGGTCGCGTGAAGTCGACCTGGATGGCCGAATCGACGGTGGAGAGGGGCGGGTCGGTTTGAGAGGCCGCCTCCTCACGATTGGCATCTGTTTGGGTTGAAGGAGTCGCGCTGATGCGCAAGGCATCTAGTTCCTTCTCCAGCTCGGCAACACGATTCGCCAGAGCCTCCTGGTAGTATTAATAAGGAAGAATGTGTGCTAATGACGATGCCTTCTATCTTCCCTACCAAACTTTCCGTCGGTACATCGACACTTCCGAAGCCATTTACTAGGTGTGAGACTTAATTCTTAAAGATACTTCAGCAATTTTTTAAAAAAGGAAACACTATCCTTGCACCAGGTCCCCGAAAACGTGTAAATGCCGTCGCGAGAGAAACTTGCAGGCTGCGAGGCATCCATTCCTCGTCGACGAACTCGCGCACATCTTCTCCAGCGTTTTGAACTACTGATCCACCAAGGCGTGCTGATGCACTGATCGCCGGGTCTGGTGAATATGCCGCGTATGTGGGAGAACTTCCCATTCCAAGTTCAAGAGGGTTTTTTGAGTCGCGTGCGAAAAATGAGGTGGTCGAGCACTGTCATGTGGCTGCAGTGTGACTGATCAAGTTATTCTCTCAGTTAGTTCAATTGCCGGCAGTGGCTTTCAGCGGTCACCCAATGACCAGTCTCCAGAAATCCGTAATAAAAACGTAATAAAACGTCAGCACCCAGAACACCACAAATGGATTCCTGCGCTTGGTTGGAATTCGTAAAAAATGCAGTGCCATCGAAAGTGCTGTTATTAGTTGCTATTCTGAGAGGTTACGTAACCAACGAAGACTTGTCGTTCGGTGTTCCGAAACCATGAAAAACCGCAAAAGCATTTCTAACCTAATTGTAATTTCAAGCTTGAAATCCCAATCTAGCCTAAAGTTAAAGTAGACTGGCTTCACTTTCACAAGCCAGTGATTGCCGACACGCGTTTTAACAGGTGAGAGTTTAACCAACAAACCTTCTCCTCGTTGAGCACGTAGAGGTCTTCGTCGCGTTCCTCCACCACTTCGCACTTGTCGTTCATTTTCTTTTGCAACTTCCGAATGGAGGCATCGAAGTCAGCCTGCAGTCTGACCGGCACCACTAGGAGCTCCTGTTGAAGGCGCTCCACCTCCGACTGCCGCTCCTCCAGCATGGTCTGCACCAGTTCGAAGTCCCTGTGCAGGTCGTCCTGTGGAAGGTGGGGGGGGGGGGGCAACGTAAGACGGGCCTATACCACTATTACCCCGCATTACGTCTATCTACCGTGATTTTGTAAATAATAAATAGGAAGGCAGTGCTGGAGAATGAATCACACCCTGCTATAATGAAGGCAATCGTAAACACACGACTGACAAGCAAACGTTGGCTCACCTGGTAGTTGATAAGCCCATCGATTTCAGACCTGAGCGCTTGAATTTCTGATTGGGCCTCTTCAAGGTCAGCAACAAGGTGATCACTCTCACTGGAGAAAGACTGAAAAAGAGAGAAAAGCAGGTAGGCAGCACAACACCCCTTGGCAGGGGAGGCATGCTTGTGTGGCAGAGGCAGGTACAGAGCGACTTGAAAACCAGCACTGCAGGTAGTTCCCTGATTGATGGATTCAAGACCGTTTCGTTTGAGACAATTGGTCGCTGTGAAATAATGCATACATGGGGCGTTGCTTCTACAACTAGACCAAAACAACCTGGGTGTGGTCCTCGCACCACGATACAGAAGAATGCTAGAGAATAGGGCAAAAAAATTCACACGAGCACATTGCATACTTTTACAGTCAGTAGGAATTTAGGGTGTGATTTGACACAGACGATGAAACATGCGTCTGATTTAATAATGCAGTCGATGGTGATTAGGTTCAGAGTAGGTTAACTCGCAGTAAATCAGTGTGGAAATGGAGAATGCTACATACATGAACCTGTTCCAGCGGTTGACAGAGATCCTCCTCCTCCACGATCTGCTCATCCACCTTGTCGTCAGCCTCGCCAGCCGCCGAAGACACCCCACTGCCAGTGGACGGGGTTGAGACGGAAATTTCGGCGTTTGACGAGCCAGAGGAAATCGAGTGACCGGCAGATGGTGGTGGTGGGGACATGGTCGACTCCCGTGAAGCAGGACTTCCGCGCGACGACGCCTCCTGGGTCTGCACACAGACGGATGCGTAGGTCACAGGGAGTGCGTTGCACGACCAACAGGCGCCAGGATCGGGGGGCGCGTTGGACACGGTTTGAATCAGCACACTTTCACAAGGCCGGTTGGGAGGGAACTGGGGAGTGGTAAGACGCGTGTGTCAGTAAGAAATAAACGACAATTGCAGCGAATCGGTTAGTCAAAGAGACATACTTGAAATTGCTGTTGATGATCGGATGTGTTGGGCTTCTCGACGCCTTCTTTTGTGCTACGCGAGCGAGCACTCAGTTGACTGCGAAGCAGATCCAATTCGGCACACTTCTCCGCTAACGAGGACTGAGTAAGAGCCAGGGTTTCACGCTGAAGCACAATGAGGTTGTGAATTCAACCACGGAATGGATCGTCCACCAGAAAATCAAAATCTAGGGCTCATGGTTCCACAGTATGGCCTGTGGTTTCACACGTCAGCATGAATCGAGTGTGTAAGACGACAAGTTCTTACCATTTTATCCATCTCCGCAACATGCCGCATCTCGACATCTAGACCAACGTTGTTGCCCAGTTCGGTTGGACTTGCGGTGCAGTGACGTGATAAACCGCTCCTTCGCTTCTGCACGGCATGGGAATTGGTCTTCTTGCGTGTCGTCGTGGTGACAGTTGTGGTGATGACGCCCAGGGCAGCCGCGGTTCGCGTAGTGGTTTCCACGTCCTCCTCTTCCTCGGAGGCTAGGTTGGCACCTTCACCGTCGAATTCCGTCGACGTGCTGCAACCACCGGAGAGGGAGGACGACTGCGCGGACACCGAGACGTCCACGTGCTCCACGGGGGATCCGCCAACGCAGGCGGTGGAGAGCCGCACGGGCAATTGGGACTGCTGGGCCAGCTGCTGACGCAAGGCCGCATCGCCGGCGCTGTGAGGACGGGACTACAGGAGGGAAAAACCAGGCGCTGTTACGAAACCCACGACCCAAAGACAAATTAGGCAAAACAAAAAAATACAATACAACACTCGGTTAGAAGTGTACCGCCAAGATTCCACTTAACGACCGTGTCCCACACAGTCGATTTTCTGACTTGACGATTTCCGAGCGCAAATTAGCAATGTTATTCAGTTCGAAGTCAAGCGCGTCTAAGTGGTGTGCGAACAGGAGGTGTCTGGAGTGGGCACGCTCATCAGGAGAGGAGTGACTGTCGCTGTCGTCGCTGGAAGTTGAGTCGGGGAGGTTGAAGCGGAGACGACGGTGGAACTCGGGGGAAGCTGAGACGGCCCGTCTTATTGACCGGCCCATCCCGATGTCACTGCCTCCTATTCCTACTCCTCCGTCTAACGCTGCTACGCAATGCTTCATACGCAGGCAAATGCAGAAATAGAGTGCTCTAGCACAAAGGCTTACACACATACGCGCGCGCGCGGGCACACATAATTAGCGAATGACAAGAGGCCAATCAATCTGCTGACTGTGTGCGCGGGTGTGTGAGAAATCACTGTGAGGGCATCACTTGATAGATAAGCTAGAAACTGCAGCAACAGATTGAAGTACAACCTAAGTCTGCAAAGACGCGCGCACGCACGCACGCACACACATCAATAGTCAAATTTTTTTCCAGAAGCGGAAAACTCACCCAATTGTGCTTGAAAAGTGTGCCCGCATTTGGGAGGTCGCCCAGAACGCGTGGTGTCGGGGTGAGTTCGAAGGTGGGCGAGTCGTCCACGTCGCTGTGGCTGTCGGTGCGTTGCTCTAGGGACTCGTCAAACCCGAAGACCGAGGGTGTGGACGGGACTGCGGTGCGGGTGGTGGAGGCGGCAACTGGGTCTCGCGGGCTGATGCTCGGCGTAGGCGTCGACGACTGCTGCCGCTCAAGCGACAGCACCTTGGATCTGTGGGTGAAAAGTGCGCTCGCTTTTAGCAGGCATGGGGGCAGACAGGAGGTGAATACGGCCATGGCTACAGCACCAGCTCCGAATAACACATCAGCCCAGTGTAATCGTGCGTTGTGGTTAAGTGGGAAGAAGAAACCTCATTTGCCGAGCTCATCGACTCCGCCCACCCGCTTACTTGGAAAAAACCATGACAACCATGTTTGCGCGTTCACGGTAGGCGAGACGAAAACGCCCAGTAAAGTTAAGTGCGTGAGAGAAGGCCAAGATTTCTGTTATGACAGGTAGAACACATGATAAGGTAGACAAAAGCCCATGAACTACGCGAACTATGTTCCCCTTCTCAAGGACAAACGTGTAAATAGGTAGGAGACGGCGCAATTGCCAACAAACCTCAAGGTAATAATTTCGTTGCGAAGAGCCGCCACCTCCGACTGGAACTCCTCACGCTCCAGTTCCCGCTCCTGCAGTTGCTCATTCAGAAATCGTTCCTACGAAGGAACACACACACACACATTAAGGTACACTGGGGAGGTCAAATGCGCGCTTGAGCAGAAGCGTGAGAACACAGGAAAAAAAATTGAGCACAAGATCCCGATCTGCCAATCTAGAAAAGAGATTGATGGCGAACAAAACAGGTCATAGCTCAGCATGACGTGTGCGTGTTCGCCTGAGAGAGAGTATTTGCATGTGTGAGCCAATTACGAAGTTGCTTAGTGCAAGCATGACGTGAGACTCACGGTGGCGCTTAGCTTCTGCATCACGGCGTTCCGTTCGCTCTCCAACTGAACGCCTCGGATCTCGGCGGCCGCGAGCCTCCCCGACAAGTCGGCCTGCACCCGCTCCAACTCGGCCACCGAAGTGGCGTGGGTGCTCCCGCAGTCGGCGAGGCGCTGGTTCAACTCGCGCTGCAGTTGCGCACGCTCCGCCTCAAGCAACTCGTCCACGCGCAACTTCGCTGCAGGGCAGATGCAAAGGTAAATGCCCCATACACTCATCTTTCCGGCTTTGATTAGCAACGCAGGTCAAATACAAGCAAAGAATATTTGTGGCGGGTTCACTGGTACCAAGACAACGACAATAAACACCCAAAGAGCTCGTTTGTCTAAAATCAGAGCAATTTCTACAAGAGGGTTCCCGACTGGCATATTACTGAAGCGCTGGTAAATAATATTGGTCGATATCTTGGGACACAAATTCGACGCTCGGCAAAGCAGATAGGATTAAATCACATAAGTAGCGCAAGGCAGAACGAAAAAAATCAGGGAAGATGCAAGGGCAAATGCCCGATACGGCTATTTCTTAAGAACTCGATTAACAAGTAAGCAAATTAAGATACCATCAAAGAATATTTGTGATGGATTAACTGGTAATGAAAGCATAAAAAAACTAAGAAACGAATTACCAAGACATCGACAATAAATACCCATAGAGCTCGTTTGTCTAAAATCAGAGCTATTTCTACAAGCGGATGAGACTGCTTAGAGTGTTCCCGACTGGCAAACGACATTGGTCGATATTTTGGGACACAAACTCGACGCTCGGGAAACGCAGATAGGATTAAATGAATTAAGTAGCATAGGAGAGTGGAGAAAAAATCAGTTAATTACTGGTGTGCGGGTCGATTGGGGGGCGTTCGACTAGGAGACGTTCAGCCTCCTCGAGTTTTTCCTTCAACTTGGTAATTTCGGCTTCGTAGGAGGGTTGCGAAGCTAGAAATAAGTCAACACAAATCAGCGATTAGTACCTGTTAGCATGGCTTCCTGGTGAATCTGTCGTGTGCTCTCGGAACAGGCCTTATAAATGCACAAGTGTGGAAAATGACCTCGCGCGTACGAGCTGACCTGGTTTAGGGAAGACTCGCTAGCACCGGAACACGCGAGCGACTAATTTTTTTCTCAGAGTATTTCACCCAGGCTTCTTCTGAGGGCCCAAGAATATTCACACACACACACACGCAGACGACGAACAACCTATTCGGTGAAGTTGGGGAAAGTTGCAGAACACAACATCACGACAACGCTACGTACGCACGTGCTACAGACACAATTCGCCAGGTGAAAAGTCTAGATTATTGAACCTCTGCATTGGGTCAATCGTGGGCGACTGACGGACCTCCCACGGCAAAAAGTCTTGTGGTTTGCCAAAAACTAAGTGCAGATGACCTCAAGATTGCCAGCAGAAATTAAAGCAACCAATCAGATGACGGACAGGCGAGTTGGACAAGGACAGGCATTACCCAGCTTGACTCTCAGGTGGGTGAAGCTAGAGGCGATTCGGTCGACTTCGGCATCCAGTTTGCGCAAAACGGCTAAAATGCAACAAAGACAATGCGAGCAAAGGAGGCTCCAGTGGTAGCAGGTCCCCAGTACTGAAGGCATTGACTCACGCGAAATGCCGGAGACGTCGCCGTTAATGAGAGCATCAGCATCTGGAACAGAAAAACACTGGGTGTCTTTAATGAGAAAATGTTCCTTCCACTGCCGAAACGCACAGCTGGCACACTACCAAGAACGAACAAATTGTAGACAAAGTTGCCGAAATTTGAATCAAAAAACCGCGTGAATTCGTTTCGCATAGTCAAACTGCGATTTTGCTGACAGAAAACAAAACCGGCCTTGAAATACCCTCTACTTATAATAAGTTAGTACACAGAGTGGCGGCAACAAAAATTAACAACTACCAAAGTCGATGGAGGCGGCGCTGTTGGCGTCAGATGACTGGAGGCTGGACAGGCGTTTTTGCAGATCCGCGCACACGTACGCAGCGCCGACAAGGGCTTCTGACAATTGCACTACCCGTCGCTCGAGTCTGTGGTACAGTAAGAAAAGAGTGACCCTACTGAAAGCCAGGCGTGATTGATGAATTAAATGCGCAAGCGGCTACTTACGCTTCATTGGCTGACGCATCGATGGTCTAAAAGAGAGAATCAAATTAGATGGAGGAGGTAGTGTAGAATCGATTTCCGGTACGTGAATACACAAAATTGACAATCGGGTGATAGTACTAGACACATGGGAAATCGATGCTCAAACACGATCTGCAGAGCTACTGCGACTACAATAACACAGGAATAGGTGTGGAAATGCTTATTCCTGAAGTGGATTAGCCAAGTGGATTTGCCTTACCTGCACAATTCCTGTTCCACCAAACACATGAGAGCGCGCGGTATCGGTGCATTCGAGTGTCGAAGCTAAAGAGAGAGAGAGCGAGGTTGAAGTAGCGCGTTGAGATGATTTGCCCTTCTTAAGTGCCTAGCCTGTCTTGAGCACCCTACACCATTAGTCAGTGCGCTAGGTACATGCTCCAAGCATTACTTGCACCACGTCGACAAACAGTGCTCGTGAGATGGAAGAATCTAGCCACCCAGTTGGGAAAACGCACAACTAGTTTGCGTGGCCTTAAATTCTAGACAGAAATTGAGACCTGAGGTGTTTAACTGCCGTCACAATCGGTGTGACAAGACACTGCGGAGGGTACGCCAAGCCACTCAAACGGACGTCCAAGCACGCCGATGGTAAGCTGGAAGCTACGCGCCACTCACACAACCAGTCTGTGCATCTGAACGCACATTTGAGGTCGACAGGTTCGTAGGGGGGTCGGACAGACGCCGTATTATGCCGGTACAGTATTGAAAACGATTAGCCTGCACGCGAGACCGACTAGTTGCACGAAGAGGAACAACACGCAACTACCAAACCCGCATTGGGTGCAAATCAGGGGCTAGACCGCGTGGGGGCAATTTCTCAATTATTTACACCAGTGAAATCAGAGTGAATAAAAGGGGATTTAAAATAGCAGGTTGTAGAATTTCACCACGAGCGCCAGCATTGGGGAAGGGGTGAAATTTCACGCAAAAAGGCCGGATTTTGGTTACACACACGAGGGCGACAAGGCGACAGCACACGAAATCGAGGCAAAGCACAACAACAACTTCGAACAGCATAGATTTACCAACGCCAGACAACGTCGTGGTTGTAGGAGCACTACCAAATTGCCTCACCTTGTCTGGATTCAGAAAAGTCCAAATTCACTTCGCGCAGAGTCGATGTGGGCGAAGGCACAAGTACGGGGTTATTGGGCTGAAAAGGGCACAATTAAAAGGACATAGGTCGTTCAATCTCGAACGATGGGACACGGGAAATGATGCAGCCGTCCATTTAACGAACAGATCAATACAAGAGCATTGTCCAGTGTCACTTACATCGCCAGAGGGGATATCTGATGAGCAGTTGAGACAGCGATACGGCAGATCTGCCTGTTGTCCGAAAGACTGCAGAAGGAAAAGGCGAAATCAGGGAGTGCCAAGTGGTGATTACCCACCCACCCCCCCCTTGACAATAAACCGTTAAGCATAACTCTTGGACGGAGAGACACCCACGGTCGACGCTGACCTCGGTTGGGGGGTTTAGTGGATTAAAATTGTTGCATCAAAAGGCAGAAAAATTGAGCAAAAGCAACCAACAACAGGAGGCGAACAAACAGCGGCGCGTTTAAAGTGATTCAGCACCAAATAAATGCAAACTGCTGGTGTGTTGATTTTACCCCACCCAACCAGTAAGAATAACGAAAAGGCAGCGAGAACGACGGAACACCAACAAACAGCGTGGGCTCACGGTGGAGTTTAACGCGGCCGGTGGATCGGATCGCGAGAGAGGAGAGGGGGGCGTTACGCATTCTGTTTCGAAGGTGACAGACTCGTCCGCACTGTCGCCGACGTCTTCATCCTCCACGTGGAAGCTGATCGTTGTGGATGCCTCGGGCGTGCGAAACGTGACCTCGGCCGAGATTATCCTCCGAGAGTTGGCTTGGCTGGGCACGGGAAAGCGCACAACCCTCTTCTCGCTTCCCGAAACATCCACCACCAGGCACTGCGACAATGTCAACCAAATTCACTAACTACGTGGTGCATGCCTAATTCTGGCGCGGAATGCTACCTCTAGAAGAGTTTTTTCTGCTTACTGCATTACAGGAACAGTTGCTGCCGCCCAACAAAAGTCAACTCTAACAGGAACCTCGTTCATTTTCGGTGGCAAAATGAAAGAGCAACTAAAAACCCCGTGAAATATCACTCCTATTAGTGTGGCATTGTAGGCAGCACTTTGTCTGTGGAAATTGAGACACTGATAGGCTGAAATGGAACCAATCAGGACTTGGGTGCGTAATCAGACCCATGGTATAGACGGCGGGGCAATTAATGAACACGATATAACTGCTTCCGGTGACGCAATCTGTGGGTGAAACAGTATTCAAGGCCTGGGTGCTCACGTGCCGAAATAAAACTTCACATGGCCTTGTGAGACTCTTCACTTCCAAACAGCACCCTCGATAGATTCGATTTTACAGGTGTATGAAAGCAAACTTGTCCTACTTTTGCTCTAAACCAAAACCGAGCGATATTTACCACGGAGGCACGTGGAGTACGAGCGGCGTCTTCTTCACCGTCTTGATTCGGACGTTCTCCGGACTCCAGCAGCACAGAGGAGACGTTTGTGTGGTCGAGGGAGATCGACCAGTCAGTGAAGTGCTTGTTGTCCGACAAGGGGATGGGGTTGGTCACGCCACCAACAGCGGCTGGTGCTGGCGACGCGAAGCTCGCCTCTTCCGGTGGCGCGCAAACCTGAAGGTGAAGAGGACGACTTTGTGGTATCGATTAAACCAATGTTGTCCAATAAAAACGTCGCATGACGCCACGGGCTAAGGAATTTTTCAGTAAACGAATGGGTTTGGCGCTTCCCATAAAAGTGTGCTCGAGGAGAGAGGATCTGCGGGGTTAAGAGAGAGCGAGAGAGAGTAGGCGCTAAGGACGCTTGCCCTGGCAGCACAAGTCATGTGTGTCGCGACTGCACATTGAGAAGACGCTCGGCAAATCAAAAAACCACCAAACCAGATCACGTGACGCGTACATGAGGAGGAAACACGCACGCCAATCAACTGCAAAGGCACCTGGAGCGGCTCGACGTTCAGGACGACACCAGTTGTTTGTGTAATTTCAACGTTATGTTACAAAAAAAGAAAGGAAAAAACTGGGCACGTACCTGATCACGGAGATCGCAGAGTTGCGTTGTGAGACCCAAATTCTGGGATTGCCTGCAGGAAAAAAAGGCAAAATCTCATATAAGGCATTCAAACAAAATCCGGCTTAATTTGAACACGAGTCATCGAAACACCCCTAACTGGGCGGTTACAGAAGAATTCTTCAATTCAACGACAAGTCGACAAGTCTACACTCGTCATTCGAAGCAGCTTAGCTTGAGTACTCAGACTAAAGGCAAGCAATCCGTTGACATTGGTTGGTTCACAAATAGGCGTCGTTTTGTTAAAATGATTAAAATTGCAGAATAGGGCTCGTTTTCAACTTTGAACAACATCCAGTATATTCAAATCTTCCAAGTACGCAAGCAGGTGGCTCTACACTAACCAATTGGTACTTTGGACGAGCCGATCTATCACACATGAAGTGTTTGGAATAACCGCCTTAAAAACCACCACGTAAGTGCCAACAAAGGCATCTTTCTTCCAATGGGCAATTCGATGACCAACCACTAACCGAAACGACTTGCTGTTGGGGATCAAACGGAGGAAAGACATCGGTTTTGCCCTGTAACTCTGATTTAATGAGCGTTTTCGCCTTAGATAAACACAACGTGGAACACAAAAATCGGTACACTAGAAATATCTTTTGAGGTCGTCTAAGTATGAAGGTATGTTCAAAGGCAGCTTGATAGTTTACCTTCCGATGTAAGACCAATCCAACGAGATCTAGTCTTGAAAAATCTCATTCAGAAACTAGGCAAAACACTACTGAGTTTTCACTGACGAAATGAGTGCTGGTGGAAATGCAACTGTGTGGATAAGGGGATGCCAAGTTATCCACAGTACACGTTTACAAGCATTGCCAGGCAACAAAACACAAGCATGAGTATCTTGTCAGCAAAATAAAAACACTCAAGTTAATGTGGCTACTGCGTTAGACAAAACAGGGGGTGAATTAGCTTGATTGGCGCATTAGCGTACTCAGATTCGGCGGTGGTAGGAATTACACCGTCGATAATACTGTTTTTTTTTTCTTAAATCCAAACAACCCATTGCAGTGTGCATTGACGACTAATTAATTTGATTTGGTAGACATAACGTCGGTTCTTGTGGAAGAAGAAGTGGAGTGATGCGCTTTATGAATTACACAACCTCAAAGAAACACACATGAGTGCACACAAGTAAACACACGGGCCATGTGAATTTTCTGGTCTTGGTTCAGCACACGCACACACGCACACTCACAATTGCAGTTTCTAGGTGCTGGCTATAACCAAAGGGCTCAGAATAACATCAAATCAAGGTCAACAGCGCAAATGACTTTCATCTTCAACGAGGCACTACATATACCTGAACTGGCCAGCAGAGAGCCAGAATGTGATCCTGGTAGATTACACACACACACGTACACACACGACAGAGGTCAGCCAACCAATTAAAACCAGAAACTCTGTTAGAGTAGAAATTACTCCTGATGAAGGCTTGATTGTCGAGAAAGAACCAATGGGAGAAAAGGAAGGTTGTGAGAAAATATCAAAGTTCAAAAGAGTCATGTCAATTTGGGAACGATGTAATTAATAATAAAAAACGGAGGTTATTAAAGTACAATCCAGAAACGCCAAGCAGACATCAAACGGGGAACATGGGAAGAAAATGTAGAATTCACATAAATTAAAGCGAAACAAATGGGAATCATGGCGTAAAAAAGGCGAAGTACGGCATCAACCGATCGACTGATTGATGCAAAAACATGACATGGCGTGTGACATTGTGCTCTTTCTCCCCCACAAAACATCATGTGCACATCGCGGTCGCGCATAAAGTTACTTGACGCAAGGCAAACATGAGTCAGTTAAATCACTCCATTAGGGGGGCGGGGCGTAGGCTCAGATGATAACACCTTTAAACATTTGAGGCAGTTGTTGCCATGGCAATTCGAGGTGGCAAGAGCCTCTCGGAACTGTTTTGAAAAGATTGACTTTAAACAAGACAAACAAGAAGCCCAGGCCCCAATCCAAATTACAGGACTTCACGAAAAGCACGATGCTAGTCTGCATGGGGATCATTGATGGAACGCACAAAAAATTAATTCCAATTAAGGCATTTGCTGGTTTCTTGCGTAAGGACTACGTGATCCTTTGGGCCTTATTTGATGGTTGTTGTGCATGGATTGGAACATTTCTAAGGAATGTACTGGCAATATTTGCCCACCAAATTGATGCTTACATTTAGTGGTCCAGGTGGCCAGCATGTGTGATGAGTGATGGGCGGTAGAGGTGTGGCTGATTCGACATGACTGTAATTATGCATTTAACACAACCACGACTGACGCACGGGGGCATCAAAGCAATGACCCTACTCTGAGGTCGATGCACCGAGACGGTTAGAAAAGTGTACGGAACCTCAAGCGGCTTAGATCTCAGTTCTCCCGACTGACCCACTAGCTTCAATCGGGAGTTGAGGGAATACACGAAAAATTCTAAATTATGAAATCTCCGCTGGGAACGGCAACCAGTTCCACGATGCCGCGTCAGACCACTCAAAACAAGCAATTTTGGTAAAATTTGTTTCCACGAGCCACTATAACGCTAAGACGCCTCATGAAGTTGATCTGTTTCGACACAACAATTTTCGAGTACGTCTGGGGTCATGTTGTAAACACGCAGCAACGTGGGATGTAGCCAAGGCAAAAGGAAGTCAATTCGAGGTGGCATGATTTTACGACCGATGCAGACACACAATGACGCCCAGATGTGAATGTAGCCAATTCATCTACCTCGTCCTGTTCTTACTAATTAACCTGGAGCAGCTTCTAAGGAGGCGTCCATAAGCACCACCACCGTAGAGGGGAGATACGCCCATCGCAGCAACCTTCACACACGAACATGCAGGCGGTCGTTTTTGTCTCAGTGCCACAAGGCCATAACAACGACTGAGGAAGTTAGGTAGCCACACATGGGAAGCGGAAGTGCCTGACGTAGTCAGATGGTCGATGGGGTCTGATTGTTTACAAGCAAAATGCATTCAGGTGTTTGGCAGTCAAACCACAAATCCTTCGGATAAAGGACAGTGAATGTGCATTTTAATCAAGCCGTAGAAAACATCCGAAATTCCATTGATAGGGTAACTTCGAATTGACATAAAATACAATCAGCAGACATGGGTGGACAGAAGGTAAAGCCGTTTCACGTTGTTTTGGACATGCAATCGAGGCACAATGGGTGACAGAAATGGCATGAGGGAGCATCATACGAATACTGCGATACTTACGTGACCACGGTAGAGTGCTGCTGAACGAGACTCGTGTGAGCTGTGGGCTTACTGCGGACCCTGTCGAGCTCACTGCGCAACTCGAGAACCTCATCGTACAGCCGCAGGTAGGCTTCCTTGTCGACGACACTGCTGGTGTCCTCAGCACCGTGGGCGTGCGGTGTTGCAGTCGCCGAGGTGGTTAGCGGAGGCATTACAGGGATGGGCATGATTGGCTCCGGAGGGGACGTGTCAGTTTGTCGAGGGGTCGGCAGACCCGTTGGCAAGGATTTTCTGGGAGTGCTGCTCTTGGACGGGACCAAACCAGCAATGAACGCGTCGTGGCTGGGTGCGAGGTCTAAAACCAACACGTGGCTATGGACAGTTTGGTCGCATTAAATGAACCACGGTCATAACCACATAAGGCAAATTATACACGTCCCCTGATACACATTTTGGCGTATTTTCGACCAAACCCAGAGGTAAGAGAAAAATATCAATTGCTACTAGTATTTGCATCCTAGAAATAAGAAACTATTGGTTAACGCGTGAATTTTAGGCTTGTCAATGCAATGGGCGTGGTTGTCATGGTGACAATGCAAAAAGTTAGATGAAGCCACGCGCTCTCGTGCATTTAAAAAAAAATGGACCGTCTTTTGACAAGGATGAGGCCGTTCAGATAAAGCTACGCAGGAATGACAAAGAGACATACTGACCCAGTTGGATGAATAACGAGCACTTTTGAGAAATAAAAGTCCACTGATAACACACCCACTGCTTGTGACGCGCTAAGTTATCATTAGACTACAAAGGACAGGAGCACGACTGGCAATCAGGCTAAGCGGGAAGCCTTACTTTTAACTGGACTTGAGTCGGGGGAGGGCGTTTCGACGATGGCACTCGGAATTTGGAGCATAGGTACAGGGGGTGCAACTAAGGCAGGTGATTTCGTTTGGGCATCCAAACTAGCAGACTTTTGAGACGTTGAATTTTTCGTCTCGCCCTCTTCGGTGGCCTCCTTTTCATCGCTGGAGTCCTCGTCCAGTGAGTCAAAACCCTCACAGGCCGTGAGCGTGCTGTACTCTTTGAAGCGCAGCGAGCTGCGCTGTAAATATGCAAAACACGACACGTCAGAAATGCGCTTGTGTGTGTGTGTGTGTGATGGAATACTGCAGTCTGTTTATGCATGCGAGTGGATGGAAAAGCCGAGAGAGTGAGGTTGAATGAAAAAAACAGAGGAGGCTAATATTCTGATACATTCTGCTGTCACGCCCCTAAGGGTCGAATCATCTCACGTCTTGGTGGCAAGAACAGCTTAGATGCGATGCCAAGTCCAACGTCCCACAAACTGACTTTAGTTATAACAGAATGAGATGTCACTTCGAGGTGCTAGGTTCCGCCCTACACAACAGTTGTGAACATATTTAGACACCTCCTAACAGAGCACGCTGATGTGATTCACCTAATACACTAGAATTCTCTAACTTAACAAATCGGTAGACTGAAAAAGACACGGAACAACCCAGAGGAAAATGAACTTTAACGATGCCCACGATCTTCAAAAGATTATCCGCTAAATGTTCTCACGATGGACTTTGGCGAATACTACATAGAAGAATTTACAGTTGCAGCATCACGCCAAGAGGATTTGACGACATGGAACATCCCCAGTGCAAAACACAAACGCGAATTCTCAGTGTGACGCTAATTAGTAAGCCGTGGGAAGTGAAACGGTGATTGTTCAAATTGGGCATCTGATCATTAGTCATCGTTTAGTGGGCGTGTCCGCAGGTGGCTACCATCTGCGAAGTAAGGGGCATGCGACATCTACACTGACGGAAATTGTCGCATGCATAGCGATTGGTAACGGCCCCAATATTAACAATTAAAGAATCTGAGTCCATCAAAACAACTTTGGTATGATGTTACCACCACGTATTTCCTTGAGACAGTTTAAAAACGCCTCTCTAAGGACTTAGGACAGATAACAATTGGAAAGAAAGTTCAACACAGACTATTACCACAACTGTAAGATTTATAACCGCGTTACCAAATTACAAATTACACATTAAAAGTAAATTACGCATTAACTAATCAACCATAAATGATCATTGCAACTTGATTTCACCATGAACCTGGTGCGTAGTCATTTAAGACAGACCAAGCATAATTTTAACGCGTAAGCTTATGGGATCACAGCCAAGTAGTTTTATGTTGTTTAGCGCAAGCTTAAGCATATATTTCAAATAGAAAATCAATATTAACACATCTTTTGTTTTGAATAGCGAACGGATAGACTAAAATTATACTACAGCATTGTGAGAGTGCAACCTATGCCCGTCCAAACTCCATTAAGCAGATTTGACCAATATGTAGATCAATGTAGTTCACAGTACTATCACTCAAGGTTTAGAGCACATAGTCGTAAGGTTTGAAAAAAATCAACTCACACGAACTTTATCCAGAGAAGAACGGCATGGAAATGCTATTGATGCTAAGGCATTCGGGACAGTCAAAGAGGACTGCCTTTGAGAATCATCGTTGGGCAAGGGACTTTCGATAGCCTGTGACCTTGACAGGGTAGATTCTGGAGCTGGAAATGCGGATCGTCGTCTTGTTAGCTCGACGAAAGCCTTTTCTGCCTTTTTTGCTCGTTCATTAGCTTCAATGAGCTTCTCGTTGAAGTCTTTTTTTGCCTCTTCCAAAATCGCATTAAATGCATTGTTTTCCATCTGAAGCTTTTCGTCTAAAGTTAAGAAATTCATGCCACTGTTTTTAAGCAAAAATTATTTAAGACTTAGCGCATCGTGACTTCCAAAAAGATAATGACGATTCTCAGAAAGCTCCGATTTTTACAAAAGCTTGACAGTGTTCCCATAACCATATTGACAAAATAAGGTAAGGTTTTCTATAAATCACGAAAACCTGCTTGAATTTTCGAAAAAAATGGTCAACGAGAGAGCAAGGCACGAAATTGAGAGATAGTCAGACGGCGTGGAAGGGAGCACGACAGATATTACAAGGGAACATACTTAATTCTTTCAGAGATTCGAGCTCCCGTTCAAGCTGTTGTTGTTCCTTAAGAGACTTCGTCAGCCTATTCTGAATGTCAAAATCAGTAGGGTAATCTTCAATTTCTTGTTTTAGACACTGCAGAGCTTCAACCTCTGAAGCTAAAAGCGCTCGTAATTCAAGGATTGCACACAACTGTTCGTAAACTAAAAAAATTGGAATTGCAATAAGGTATGGCAGAAATAAACAGAATTTAAAAATAACAGCAATTAAGGGTTAGAAAAACCGATAAAACACGCTGAAACTCAAGGAGAAAAAACAGTAAAGTCAAAAAAGGAATTTTGAAACCCCAGAAAACCAACTAGCAGTAATGCAAAAGGACAAAAGTAAAAATAGTTGCATGAGACGATGCAAAACTGACATTTTAAGTGCCTTTAGTCCAGGCATATATTATTTAACGACAACGAAGAATTATAACACGGCAGAATTGGAGTAAAGCAAACGAACTAATTGTTCGGATCAAGAAAAAAACACGCCTACAACTTACGCGGGCCTTGAGCTTGATCATCGTCGGGAGGGCTGTCCGAATTTTCATAGCAGGTGCGAAATTCTTGGAAATACTCGTTGGAGCCAAAGAAGTCGAGCAGCTTCTTATAGTAGTGGCTGTTTTTTGCCTCAAAATATTCGATAACCTTCATAAAACACTCGTCTTTGCCTGACATTAGCTCATCTTGAAGGCATTGCATTGTCTCTAACTTCAGTTGTTCATTCAGCACAATCAAACAAAAAGGCAACTCCTTCAAAGGTCCTACTGCGCGGGCATTAGTAAATGCAATATAACAAAAGTAAAAAGATTTTGTTACATTCTTGCCGTTATTCAGAGTTTTTTTTGGACGTAAAATACAAATTTCTATTGCGAACAAAAAAGGTTGGTTTATAATTTGCATTAAAAACTCGTATTTAACCTTCTTCTACATCCTCTCGAATACTGCAACATTGGAGCAATGTTAAATGCTATAATGTACAACAGAAGGTTAAGTTTAAACTTAATAAATAAACGTAGAAACCAATGCAGATATACTGCATGAGTCGAAAAATATTTCCATGGGCGCCACATGAGTTTGTAATTAAGGGTACTTAATTAATGAAAAGCGACCAAGGTTTGTTACCGAACAGTTTTGTTAAAAATCTGTTTTCTTCATTGTCTGCAATACAAAAATTTGAAAAAAAAACGAAAGTTAAAATTATAATAACATGCATAATCATGGCCTTCTACAACAATACCATTTTCTATGAATCACTCTACAAAGACTGTTAGAAAAATCCGTTTGCTGTCCAGTAAATATTAAGGATACCTGGCCGGACATAGCAAACAATCTACGGGTATTATTTACACTCCTATTGTTAATTCCTTTTTGTTAATATCTGGCATACACAGATCTAGAGCAAAACAATTACTTCGGGAAATAATCTGAAATCGTCCTTTACGGGAAACCAACATGACCAACTATATTGCACGCAAACATCTTGTGTACGCTAAAATTGCAAGTAAATTTACTTTAACTGGTTATGGTAACGTTTGGATAAATGATTAGATACTAGGTGATACGCTACAGTGTATAAATATGGTCATGCAGACAGTTTTAAGTTATTCAGCAAACAATATGTGTCATGCGTTCCACATGATGACGCAATATAATCAAATACACTAGTTGAAGATACCTATGAATGAATAAACGCTGTTTCAATGGGAATTGCTATCAGCACACTAGTGAAATATTCCTCACTTATAACTGCTTTATAAGTTCGCTAGATTGCGGAAGAGGCGTTCATAAGTTTGCTAAGACATTAACACGGTACATTACAATATGGCTGTTGGTTTTTTTTTTGAATAGGCCATCCTAATCCTAATCATTTTAGGAAACATTGATCAATCAAAAAAAGCTGGAGCGAAAATTAAGGAAAACCTTCGGTTTTAGGCCTAAATTTAACAGTAGCAACCGAAGATCATTTTTTAAAACAATGCGCTGTTTGTGGCTTGAAAAAAAGTCATAGATATTATTTCAATTAACCATAAGCACAAATGCTAAAGGTGTTGCGATATACCTGTGGCGAGCAACAAGCAAAAACAGTCTGCATTCTTGAACGAACGCAGTTCGCAAGTGTGAGCGAGCACAATTCAATCACTTTCTTGAATGCACTGTAGTGGACAGTCACTGACAGCACGTGAGGCATGTCCGTGTAACTCACCCCCTTTGTTATTAGTTCATGTTCGCGGTGGCCTGTTTCGCACGCGTATTGACACGCTCACAAAAAAGTAACTTGAATTGACTGTAGACTCTTTTGTCTTCCTTTTCTCGCGTTGTTAACTAGAGGATTGTAAGGTAGTGCGAAACTCGGCTTCAACAGACCCTTCATATTGTTCGGTACTAGAAAGCACTTGTGAAAAACGGGAGCCGTTGTAGCTTGTTGCCCGTTGACAAACAGCAGTCCTCAATTATTTATGGCGAAAAAGGTGAACGTTCAAAAAAACTATTTTGGTCACTCATTTGCAATGCGAAAAGTTATAGCCAAATTATAAGCTTCCAACATCATAAATTTTCATTCCTTATTAGGAAACAGTCTATAATATAAAAATACATGAGAAAATTATTGTTAAGAAGTTAGTCAGACTGTTTTTTGCCAACGAGGTGGTTTGTTAATATTTATTAAATTTCTAATTTAGTTTGCGCTTTTTCGATTCTGCTTGTGCTCCAATCAGTGGAGAGCGGCTTTGGGGTCTAGTCCGTCGATATCCAGTTTTTGTAACGAATAAAATCCAAGGGCTTAGACTTTTCTTGCCTGACATGTACGTCGGAGACAAAGCAACCCTTTTGTAAAATTCGTAATCACAATGTTGTTGTGTCCTATGTTCTCGTCATGACGCAATTGGATAACTAGTATACGATTGCTTTTAGTTCTCTACGTCAGTTTTCCTAGGTCGGGCTCTCTGTTGCAATCCCTGTGTCTGATAGAAGCGCATCGCAATTAATACCACACTTAGTTTCTCTCAGTATGGTGACACTAGGTAGTGTTTGACGTGGGGTCCTTGCTGTGTGAAACAAGTGGGCATAATTTGGGCTACGGAAACTTCAGAATTCACGAAAATTTAAACCATTTGATCCTGATTTATTTATTCAGACATATCCACAACCTTTTTAAATCTAGCGCCACCGTTTATTTCATATGACCATACTCGGTCTCCGCGTTTTTCTAGTCTAATCCCAAGTTTTCTGGTAATCAGTAACTATTATCCTTTATTCGCAATAATACAGCGTATCTGGTATCACAGTATTCGTTGGATTGTGGCAACGATATTTTATCATGCGCATTCCTTTTACTAATCCCCATGGGTATCATTTACGAGTAGATTCGGTTTTGTGACATTTATTCCTCACAGACCTGGCAGAGACGAGTTATTCGAAATGTATATCTGACTATCCTTTATAATAATGTTAACTTCTGCAGATTATTAGTTAGATACTTTTTGTCGTTTTTTTCAAGGGATGATTCAACCCACCAGGCTGTGATTCAAGAACGCATTCGCTACTATTTTAATCAGTTGACCATCGGTTGTGGAGATGCTGCCTGCACAAACCAGAACTGCGCTTCTTCGGCCAACTTTGCTCATCCAGGAATTGATAGCAATCGTGCTGCTGCCTTGGCCCTCAGACTTCTCAGGGATTCTGAACCAATGTGTTTCTCGCAATCTGCTTCATCTACGGATCCAGCACAGCCCCAAAAGGCTTCCATATCCAAAATTAACCACGTCACTTCCTCTGAGGTAATTTTAGTCTCGTTCATTTTTGATTCCGCCATTCTTCTAAATACGTATCCCGAATTTTCCAGAAGTTCTTTTCATCAAGTTGTTTCCGTCGATGAGGTTTGCACAGTGGCTATTTCTGTTTCATCGAATAACTTTCCACCTCATTTATCTTTGAATTATTGGTTGGCGTTGTGCCTTAATAAGCAGTTGATCTTATCCAGAACCTCCTTCACCTCGTAGCATCTCAGTGTGCTGCCCTTGTTTTTTCCACCTTCCAATTTCCTCTTCACTGATTACTTCGTTTTGGCTTTGTCGCTACAAAGTGGTCGAACAACGATCCCGTTTTATTCGTTGGCATACATTTGCGTGATTAATTTGTTTGCTACGTTTGGTGCCACAGATGCAACCCAGGAATTGCAACCATGAGTCTGTATTATCGAAACTTAAAACTTTTTATTCCACACGCATCCGAGGCGTGGTTTTGGTTATGTGAGTGAATTATACATTGGCAGTGGATTATTTTTTTCCTCAAGGTTCGAACAAGTCAAAGTAGAGATGCGGCAGTGAGCTCAGATGACAATCAATGTTCGTCACAATCCACCCCAACTGCTATTTCACCTCCTTCTAACCAAACACAGGAGATAATGGAGGGCGAAGAGGTTGAGGAAGATAATAGACATGAGTTGTTGGAAGAATCCACACCGAATTCAGCACACAATGACATCTCTCCGGGCTTGAGTCGCTTTCTCCTTCAGGTTTCTAACAGTCCACCTCCCTCTGCAATGCAAACTCCTTTTCTCGAAAGCGGTACGTTTTTTGTTTGCAGGTTTCATAAATCAGTGATGATTTGTCTAAAATTTCCTCCAACAAACTTTTTATTGGTTTTGATTATCATAGTTTTCATTTTATTTTTCTTAACCATTATATCCTCAGATAGATGGTTCCTGACAAACCCGGATTATTTAATCATTGACATAGAACAGTGAAGGTTTTCGCTCGCCGTCTATGTCTCGCTTTCGTTCTTACACAGCTTGTAAGGTCATTACTGTTGGGTAACCTGTTTCAATAGCAAACGTTTTATGAACAAAGGCTTGTCCTTTATCGCCTATTAATGATTATAAGCTTTTGATTTGTCCCCTCCTTTACAACTTGACAACACGCACTTTCAAATGCACATGACAGTGCACTTTTGGTTTCGGTGTGTGGTCAGGTGGCTGCGATCTCTTAGCGCCACTGCAAAATACCAGGGCCGTTTTCTGCAAATTATCTTCCTCTCCTCCACTTTGTAATGCTTGCGTTATAGCAGCCGCCGCAGCAGCAGAAAGCGGTGACGATGCTGAAGCCACCCGCCTCAACCACCTCCTTGGGCTTCTGGATCGCTTCGTTAAACAGAGCAACCGCAAGGGCGACGACGAGGCAAACGATGCGCCCTCGTCGACGTGCATCATCGGCAAACGAGTTGAGGGTCTCAAGTTGACAGAGGTGCAGTCGTGTGTTGCGGATTGTGAAGCCCAAGGCAACTGGACGCCAATCAGACTGCTTATTGAAGAGGTTTTCACCTCCTTGACTGCCCTTGCTAATTCCTTCACCCGGGAGAGTAAGAGTGAAGATGTGGAAATGAAGTTATCACCATCCACCGGCGCATCTACGTCTCTAAAAACATATGAGTGTATGTGTGTGTGCATATATGTGTATGAGTGTGTTTTGACGTTTTATTAATCTCCACAGGATCCGCTGATTTACTTTCAAAACCGAATCTTAGTGCCCCAGTAGCTACACTTTGCCTAGCATCTTGGCCTCTTTTTCAGCTCCCAAACCTACTCGTAAGTTTGGATTGGATACGCCCCCGTTCCAGCCCTTTCTCAACGATGATTCTTATCCTGCATTGCCTGTGGACATAGAGGAAGCCCGTGCCACCTACAAGCTCCTGCTTGAACGGCTTCCAAAAACCCTGGAAATGGAAAGCACACTGTCTCACCTTCTTCGACGTCAGCTCATCGTTACTCTGCGTCGAATCTTTCGCATCTACCCGTTTCCTTCATCTTCAGGCACTAGCAGAGACGCCTATCTTGCCCTCTTGGAGGAAACCAACCCAACTGTCGGTGGGGAAGCGGACAGAATACAACAGCGCATGGTCAACCTCTTTGCCACCATTTATGCTTGTCCACTGGTTACGGATCCACTCCACTTTGAGGTTTGTGTCTTCGCTTCGTGTGTTCCACTTAGGGTCTATGTCGCTTTGGTAACTGCTACTTGACTCGGAACTCGTATTTTTTAGCCGATTTTGCCCCACCTCTGTCACCTGACGGCCTCCCTGCCGATGGCTACGCAGGCGCGTCTCTGCCGCACCTGGGCGGAGTACGCCCGCGCGCAAAGAGCCGCGTCTCCCTCCACTCCCTGCTGGCTCCTGGATCTTCACCGCATCCTGATGCAACAGATAACATTGCGTTGCCTGACCCTGGAACCAGCGGCAAACGAGCTGGACGAGGCGCCCGCCCCAAATGACGACCACGTCATCTGCGATGTCGCACGTGTCATCCGCGTGGTTTTTTACGCCTCACTACTGGCCGGCGGCTGCGACTCGCCTGAACAGCTGGAGCGCGAAGCCAACGAGATGGAGGGGACTACGAAAGGACCCTCTATATCCTCTACGTCGTTCCGGGTAAACCCTCACTTTTGTGTTTTGATACAGTAACTTCTACCTACACTTCAACCCCTTCTCCCGTTGCTCGTTGTGTTTGGTGTATTCACTATTACGATTTTCACTTGGAATGTGTCGGGCCGGGTCCATTGGTCGAGCTCACAGCTGTGATTACTTGCTTCGTGGGTCAGTAGTAGCGCCACAGCTGTCATTCAAGAGCCGTGCTTCCGTCGCTTCACCTCGTCGTTGGCGTCTTTACATTGCACGGGGTTCTAAAATGCAGCCCTTCGCGCTGAGTCAAAATGTCACTGATTGTACTTAGTACTATGTCGTGATTAGAGCCTTCGTTGACGGGGTTTCTTCCGGTGAAACCGAAGCACCGCGGCCACCGGTTTGGGTGGAACTTGCACTCTTCAAGCTTTAATAATGAATCTGTGCCTTTCATTTGTAGTCTGAACGAACACCACTGCGTAAGGACCCACTGGGTACCATCCTGGGAATCTCTCCCAATGACTGCCGTAATCCCCTTATCCCTCCAAGTGAATTTCTCAACGAAACACTCAACGAGGTTCTCGTAGTAAGTCCTCCATTTCCGTTGAATTTGTGCTGAGGACAGTCTGATGAACAATAGCTAGGCTATTGAGGGCTTTTTTTCAAGTTTAATGTTGAATTAAAGGGGGTAAACTGTGTTAACGGATTACGTGTAATTTTTCATCTCTAATTGGTTGCTCTCTTACGGTTCCCAAGTAATATTGGCTTATGGTGTCATTGGTTTTCACTTCCATCTGTAATGTCGAAATATAAGTTCAGAAGTCGTGCCTTGGCTTCAATAGTAATAAGGATGCATTTGTGGGCCTGCTGGAGGTCAAATGCATTCAGCGAAATCCACTATTTGCCATGCCGAGTCCTGATTGTGCCCACAGCATTCGCCTCACCTCGACTTTCCGAAGGCGTTTGTATCGGATTCCTTGAACTGACGCTCTGGCACCTGCCCTATCGTATGGACGTGCTGTGAGCGGTCAATCGTGTGCACAAGCATATCGGCAAATTATGCATTAATTGCTTTTCTCTTTACTTCCAGGTGGAGAAGGATTTCGCCAACTTCCGATCGCACCGTTCCGGTTGGCCAGGAAAGCTCTCCTTCATGGAGCTGCCCTTTATGCTCCAGACGACAACGAAGAGCACCCAACTCTACTATGACAACCGCTTGAACATGCTGCAGGAGCGTCGCGGCGCCATCCTCCACGCCCTGTTCGCCACCTCCACCTCGGACGCGGCCCTTGAAATGCCCTACTTCAAAATTTGTGTTGCTCGCGAACGTGTGGTCGAGGACGCCTTGGTCGCGGTAAGCCTGTGTTCTCACTTGTGGTTTGAGGTAAAAGTATTATATCTTTCCAAGGTTTTACCAGCAATTAAGAAATGCTCGTTCATCAACACTGACCATCGCTGTTCCCGACTTCAGTGTTTGTGTTCGCTAAAGTATGTTTCCCAATGGGAAAATGGCCTGTCTTTGTTTCACCCACTTGTCAAATGCGCGACTAGTCAGCCAGTAAATGACGTAAGCGGGTTATTTTTGAGCTGATAGTTGGTGCTTACGTAGACGCACCACCTTCTGAACGTTGCTAATACTGTACTTACCATGTCGTGTGGGTGTGTGTGAGTGATGTTGCTACTGTGAATAAGAAATTACTAAGAACCGAACAACGGGATCTTTGTTTGGGTTAGTTACTTGTATTCCAAATTCAGCATTCGCCTTATTTAGCTCGAACTGACCCGGATGGAGGCCGTGGGTGATTTGAAGAAACAACTGTACGTCGAATTCGACGGCGAACAGGGCATCGACGAAGGTGGTCTCAGTAAGGAGTTCTTCCAACTCATCATCGAACGCATTTTCAATCCTGACTATGGTTAGTTCCTTCAATTACTCGTGTACGTAGTTGAACTGGAAATTGCGCTGAAGTTGGCAGATCGCAAGGTCCAACTCGACAATGTCTTGCCGTGTGTAAAATAATCGTCTTAATCTGGTTTGATCGCTATAACCATGGAACTAGTTATCCACTCTTTCCAGTCTTACTGAATGGGGTTGAGGTTTGTGTTCAAATCGTAGGGTAAGGCCTTGTTACTTGGTTTACACAGAAGAAACAACTGGTAATAAACAATTAGCTGGCAAATTTGAAATCCCCTTTCCACTCCAGTTCTTAATTCGCGACATTTCCGGACAGCCTCACCTTCCGCGTAATAATGCCTCAACACATACCCTTTTCACGGAAAAATTAGCATTTCGTAGTGCACGTTTTGACAACCTTTTGACGGAAAAGCTTCGTGTCTCTTGTCAACATCATGAATGGTGGACAAAACGCCTAGCAGGCACTGTGGAGATCGGACAGTGTGTGCATGCTCACTCATCTGTTTGATTTCAGGCATGTTCGTATTCGACGAGGAGTCACAATGCTACTGGTTCAACCGAAGCCCGCTGGCAGAGGAGCTTGATCGGGAATATTGCTTGATTGGGACCATTCTGGGTCTGGCCATCTACAACAACATCATCCTTGACATTCACTTTCCCGCTGTGCTCTTCCGCAAGTTGTGCGGAAAACTCGCCTCCAGTCTAGCGGACCTTGAAGACGCGTGGCCTGATCTAGCACACGGTCTGCAGGTAGCATTCTCGCCCTTAGTGGTGTTTCCTTCTTTGTCCTCATCCTGTGCGCGACCGCAAGCGTCGAAGCAGCCGTCTGTGCTTGGATTTGCGTGTTCATTGGTTGTCCGTCTGCTGCTCCGGAGTAACTATAGAATGTCCTTCTATTCTACCCTCTTGGGTCGGATTCCATCGAAGAAGTTGTTGAGATGCCTGATATCACTAGCTACCCAACAAAGATGAAGTCGGTGGAAGGACAGAGAGTCAATCGTTTATTCGAGAACTTGACGAAACCGTGGTCGTGTGTGGGGTTTGCGCGTGTGTATTTATACCTCGGGTGTGTGATTTATGCATGCGCTAACACTGAGACCTAGGTGTGAGGTTAATCCAAGGTAAATATTCGTGTGAATGAAGAGGGAAGTTGAGGATTTGCGCGGCTGGCGCCATGCTGCGAGGACGGGGAGCCCTGTGTCGGAGGCGAAGCGATCGGATTAAGGGATTGAATAAACACGATTCACAACAAGGTACTCTATGACTGCACCACGGTTTCGCGTCCACGGGATGCCTGGAACTGTTTAAGTCTACCCACTACTACCTCAGACTTAGAACAGCCAAGGCTGGTGTTCACCCATCCTATCCAGGCTTGCACGTATGTAGCGAATGTTCGGGGGCTTCGTCGAAACGGGAATCTGGGAAGCGCTTCAGCATGAAACCCGATGTGGTGGACTGTCGCAGGAGGCAATTTGGATAATGGGATCGGTACTAGGTTTAGTCGTCATGAAGTCCATGGACACTTGTTGGTCTGTTCACTCCTATTTGCGTTGGCGAACTTTTTTAATCCTGTTTCACCCCAATGAACCACCTGTAATGAACCGTGTTGAGATTTTGACCTGCTGCGCGTTTTTGGCTTAAAGGCTCTGCTCGACTACGAGGGCGACAACTTCGAGGAGGACCACTGTCTCAACTTTGTGATTTCCTACTCAGACATGTTCGGGCAGGTGGTGACACAGGAGCTCGTCCCCGACGGCGCGTCCAAACCCGTGACTATCGCAAATCGCCAAGTACGTAACCTGGTTTTTCCTGTTTTTTTTTGTTTCTGCACTCACAGCTTAGCCCCCCAACCTAATCTAGGCTTCTCGTACTTCGTCGTATACTCTAGGTCCGTTGTTTTGACATCGAGATCTTGTTGCGCAGCCTTTATCAGTGAAAGTCTGCTCGTGTTTTGTTGAGGCAGTAAAAAATCACGTGATTTCATCCTCGTGGTGTATACTTTCAAAAAAATATCCTATCCAGACGTGTTTCTCACACGCTAGAGTTATTTTGGTTAAATTTGCCGCATATTCCAAATCCCCGTTTGCTTGTTACTCACTGCATTTGCTGTTGCAACTAGTCGCTTCGCGTTAAAATCTATTTCGTTTCCGCTTCGGCAAAATGCCTGTTGGTTGGTGTGCGTCTTGCTTCCTCCTCATTGTGCTCATAGCCGATTCCACCGATTTCCCAGCTCTACCGTCTCCCTCTAACGTTGCAGATGTTTTACCACTACTTCCCCCTTGTCTCTTCTGCTTCTGGCTTGCTTTTCATCGAATTTGTACCCACCTGTCTACCCCTGGATTTTGTCCCACCGGCCGTTACCCTCTGTCGCTTTGATTGGCTGTGGCATTAGTGGAACAAATGTAGCGACGTAGGATTATTTCCGATTATAGCCTCGATTCACCCCGTCGTTATAAAACATAAAACAGTTATTTCAAGTCGTGAACGCTGCTTTTTCATATATGCAATGAACCACGAAACGCGTTCCCCACTTTGTGATGTTTTATACTCGAGAAGGGGAGCACGCGTCACGTGGTCCCTGAGGGCGTGTAGAAACTGTTTCTGGATGTTTGCAGAGGTCACACATGACCCCACCGTGCCAGCTCTGCGCGGTCACCACTGGCGCTCGTAAAATCACGCCTATGATTGACAGTAGACCTCACCAGCCTGTGCTCCGAAATTGCACGACACCCGAAGCGTTGACGTGGTTACGGCGTGGAGTGTTTGGATCGGTGTGAGGAACACCAAATGGGACAATGACTTTCTGCTTGTAATGCCTCGTTTTAGCACTATGAAAATGGGTGTTTTTTCCCCCACACAACTCACCACTTATGATGAGGAAACGTGGGTGCTCAGGCGTAGGCGATCGCCATGTCAGATGTAATCCACAAGACGCCGGGTAGCACTGTGTCGTGCGTCATGAGACCATGCAGTTGACTCCCCTAACCACTGCTGATAAATAGCCAAAGCGAAGAAGGGGGTCGAAGTTGGGCATCAGGGAGGATCTTGTGTAGTGCCATGACGAAGCCAAACTACCTGGGCATGTGTTAGTACGTCTGTTATGCGTATGCTCCTAGTAGTCTACCATTAGCGCCCTGTTAGAAGAATAAATTTATCAAATTTTTTGCACAAAATTACCTCAGTCCTCCTACAAAGGGAACCATTAGCCTCGAAAACGGAAATGTCTAATCCTTAAAGGAAGTTTATGCAATGTACTTTTAGGATTTACGATCAGTGAATTCACAAAGTAGATGTAAACACGGCAGATCGATGCCGCAACCTTAGTTATTACTTTGCTTCGTTCATTTGTTTACGCAAACGTCTGTCACGTGTGTAGGCACGTCCCCCAACTCCGCCGTCTGCCTTGTCATTGTTTGTACACAAGAATGCACGCCACACCGGCCTAGTTGTAGCCGCATGAACTGTGGTGTTTTGTGTTGCTTCAGCCATGACTTGTGAGCGCAGCACCATAATCAAGTCTCCTTGTCCATCATTGCTCTGACTTGGTTCTTGTCCACATAGAACTCACTTTCCCGATGTGATAACGCTCTAGTAATCGTGAATTCACCAGTGGACTTGGTTAGTGTCCTTTCCCTGTGTATTTTCCACTTCGGCCAACAACGATCCCTCCATAATTACGTTCGAAAATGACGTAATGCAGTCTGGTTTGCGTAATTTGCTTTTTTCTAGGCGACGCGATTCAGGCCCTGTAAAGTCCTCAAACAGCAAGTACTTTTGTGCATTTTAGGAGTTTGTGGACCGGACAGTGGACTTCTTGTTGAACACCTCTGTTAGAAAACAATTTTCGGCTTTTCGAAAGGGTTTCCTGTCGGTCGTGGAGGACACACCGCTTTTCAGCCTCTTTTCACCATCCGAAGTCGAGCTCTTGCTTCGTGGAAGTCAAGTAAGGGAAGTCAAATTAATTATTTATTCTCTAATTAATGATCACCTTTCCACAGAGCGCGTCTCTACATTCAACAGACCAGGCAACTTTGCCAATCAAAGTTTACTCGCTAAAATTGACGCCTCCGCTGGCGTCCTTTCGGCTAGAGCACGTTACCAAATCTATCATATGCTGAGGTTGTACGCCATTACCTTAATAATAGGACGCGCATGACACAGTAGACTTTCATATGTACTTTTGTACTTACTGAGGCGCTGAGTTTGCTCATTTGATGGCTGTTAGGTGCAGCTAATTTGGGCATTGACAATTTGTACGGGGAAGCCACAAGATTACAACCAGCGTAAATCGGTAATGGTACTAAGCAGTACCCATCCGTATTAACCTTGTAGAACTTGTGATCTTGAGGAATTCATTCCGCTGGCTCTTTGCGAAATTCCCCTTTAGACGCGTAGCGGTTGTGTGCCTATAACCACAAACCAGAACCAATTATTGCCTTCCTGCACTGCTGTGGATGTCGGCCAATCAAGCAAAGCCAAAATCGATGGCGTTCCTACTCATTTCTTTTTAATAAAGTTTTGTACCCAAATCAGCGAGGGCGGCAACCCACGCTGTAAAGGCGCTGTTCCCATTTTTCACTTGTTCAAACGCTTGGGACACTCTTTTCTAAACTTGTCTGTGGTCACTTGTTGAGACACAATGACGCATGTTAGGCATACCGGGTGGTTCGGGTTCGACTCGGTTGTATTGTGGTTTCGTGTGCATTGGGTATCGTGCGCACTCGAGTGTGATATATGCGTGCAGGTGCGTGCTCAGACTTGCAAACCGGGGAACCAAACAGACCAGGGGACGCGCGTCGGCTGAGGAGGTGGACGTGAACCGTCAGACTATTCGTTGTTAGCTTTTTGCGGCTAAGCCTCACAGACGATCTCTGGTCCCTGCCTTCCGTAATTGGTGATGGCGACGCCATTGGTCTCCACTGTTTGGCGAATCGGATGAGAACCTAGCAGTCCATCTTGCAGTTGTGAGGTTTCATAATTTCGGGGTTTTTCACGAATGCGATTCCTTCGCGTAACTTCTCCTTTTGACTGGTCTTTACTTCAAAGGCGTGGGTTTCGTGTGGCCCTGAATTTTTCGCGTCTTCGAGGTCATTTTTTTAATTTTCCCCCGTAGAATGTGGGCTCAATGCAATCTTGAGGGCTTGTTGATAACTACTGCCCTCCTCCGTGTATTGCCACGCGCTTGTACCATTGATTTTGAGGCCCGCCGTCGCCTAATTGATTGTTTTGGCCTTTAAAGCTCAACAAAACCCCACCAACACTCCATTCCACTAACGTACCCTTTTCCTCCACCGAAGGAATACGACTTTGGAGAGTTGGAGCGTGTGACGGAGTACGAGGGCGACTACAACACGGAGACCCCGGTGATCCGCCAGTTCTGGTCCATTGTCCACGCGATGTCGGAACAGGAGCAGCGCAAGTTGCTCCAGTTCACGACCGGCACCGACCGGATACCCGTTGGGGGGATGTCGCGTCTGAAATTCGTCATCGCTCGCCAGGGTCCCGACTCCGACAGGTTAGTTGGTGCCCGTGTGGTGGTCCCAGGTTCGAATCCATGTGGGATCATTGCGTTCTTCTCGTGATGCGCCAACTGAGCCCCAGGCTGTGCTTTTATCGTACTTTACGTCAATTCATTGTCACAAGCACCTGTCACCCTTCCTAATGCTTGGTTTTGTCTATTCCCCTGTAGACTGCCTACTGCCCACACTTGTTTCAATGTTCTTTTACTGCCCGAGTACTCGAACAAGGAGAAATTGGAGCGTTGTCTGCGAATCGCCATCACCTACTCGAAGGGCTTTGGCATGTTTTGATTCTACGATGGCGCCGTGCATTGTCTTTCGACACCCAAGTTAACACCTCTCATTATTCTTTTTATGATCCACTCCGTTTCCCCCACGACGGGTGACTTGCTTCAGGAAGAGAATAAGGCCCCAGCCTCATTCCCTTCATCATCATCTTCTCCTCCTCCTATTCCTCCTTTCGAACTACGCGGGCTACACCTAAAAATATATTTACAAATCAAACAGTGCTTGTTCTTGTGTCTTCTTCATTACTGCTATGTCTGGTGAAAGTGTCTGAAGTTGAATGGACTTGGTAATATGAAATTGCATATTGCACTCAGTCGGGGGTCCTCTTGGTTCTTTTTTAATGCGCAGCTCAGGATATTTCAAGCCCGTGGCTTGTGACGAAAATATCCATTTGGGTCATGTAGACGGGTTCTACCTCAAGCTCCACTGCGTGTTTTCACGACTCAATTCAAAGTTGTCTTCGTAATCGCCAATACATCTCAACTGGTGCCGTAGCTAAAGGGTAACTTAGTTAGGAGCCTTGGTAGATGTCGAGGTTAGCGTCAACGAAGCGCATAATTTGCCGTATTCGCATCCTCCGTTTGAATACCAGACCGAATTACTGGCTTTTTCTCTCTCGTCACCACAATAATCCAGATGTTTTCAAGTGCCACCGATGATACTGTCAGTGAAGAATTAAAATCCTCAGTCAATGTGGACGTCCTTCGTCTGCTGGCGGCCCGGTCTGCTGAGATGATGGCATGCGAGGCGTCTCTGCACTTGGCGACTTCCCGCGCCGTTGCCCCACTCCAACGTCTGCCGGTGCGCCTGCGCAGACGTGCCGCCAGTCACCAAATCAGGCGTCTTCCTCGTCGTCTGCATTACAGACCGGTTCACGCAGTGAGCGTCCTTGTGCTTTCTTTACTTTGATTTCTGCGGTCGTGGGTGGTAGCACAAGCGTGGTTTATTGTTGATTGTCTAGTGTGTGGGTGGCCGAATGTCTTTGTCAAACATCTTTACTGTTCACGGGGCAGGTAATGTGACTCCTGTCTTCTAATTTACTCTCATGGTTGCCCAGGGCCCATGAACGTGAATCTTTAACTTCGACAGTAAAATTTTCGTTTATATGAGGATAAGCCTGCTTTGTTATCCATTGTAGACGACCCAGAAGCTGCTGACGCAGGCCAAGAAGTGCCGGCGTTATCGACGTCGCCCACGGCGTTTGGCGGCGCTTGCCGCAAGAAGAGCTCTTCTACCAACTACTGTGGCCTCGGGGGTCAAGTGGATTCCCACCTCCCTCTGGCACGCCAAACGCTTCCACATGGTGGAAAATTGGGGCTGGCGCCTGCCCTACGCACCCACTGACAAGATGTTCAAGGCCCTGCAAAGGGACACCACAGAGTAGGTCTTATTTGGCAGAAGTCTTTAGTTGGAGCATACTAGATAGTATGATCCTTCTGGCAACTGCATAATGCATCGTATAATCTGGATTGTGCGTTTTTTACATTTACGGCCCCAATGATGACGCTTGACGTTACTTGTATACCTTCGTCTAGCTCGATCGTTTAGCACAAATTACCCTCCTCCCTCTTCATTCAAATCGACTTCATTATGCGTGTCAGTGTCGCGATTATTTGTCTTGGTGCCTACCCACCTTGCAGCCGATGCTTCATGCTGGACCTTGGATATATGAACAGCTTCTCAATTTCTGGCTCCTTGGGTCTGCTGAAACAATGTCTTTCGGAGGTGACTCTTCCCTTCTACGTGTCTAGCGTCACCCCTGACGCCTCGTCGGAGTCTACTCTGCCCGGCTTCCACGAGACAGTTGCTCTCTTCTGTTGCGAAGCAGCACAAAACCGACAACCGACCGGTGTCGCTAGTCTCCCCAACATATCTCGCCCTATTCTCGGACCTGTTCGCATATTATGGGGTCCGGTAATTCAGCAGGTATTTCGTTAATTCCTCCCACTACGACTGCTAACCCCCTTCTACGACTAAGATGCATCAAAATGTCCGTATGTAGAATACAAGAGCATTCACGTCAATACTGTACTTAGTTGATTTGAATTGAATTGCGTGTGACGAGGTGTATTTTGAATGTGAAACACCTATTGGAAAGCGGGCACTTCTGTCACCTCCTGTTCACGTTCCCTCGGTTGCACCACACCCTCTACTGACGATCCGTACCAAACTTGTGGCGTAACGAGGTTCTGTTGTCTTCTTTGGTATGCTACGCAGAATGGATGTCTCAAGTATCACAGTTTTGAAGGATAACAGATCAAACCTATGGTTTACATATGTCTTTAATGAGGTGGTGGAATAGGTTGTTGCAGTTGTATTAAATTTGAACCAACCGAGCGAAGAGCTTGATCAGAAACGGCAAATCATACTGCTGCTGCTTGACAGCTCTCGACCACCTCGCGTTGCTCGCGCGACTCAGAAGACCCTCTTGAAGTTGGGGTAGGGTGTTCTTCCACACACGGCACTTTCGCCAGAATTGTCTCCATCCGACTACCGTTTGTTCTGGTCAACGCAGCAGCACGCCTTAGTCGATCCGTAGTTCCAAACGCTGGCGACGATGTGCGCAAATTCGTCGATGATGACTTCATTGCCTTGAAGTCTGCAAGTTTTTTTCACGACGGCATTCGAACGTTACCTGAGAGATGTTGCAAGGTCGTAGAAAACGATGGACAGTATTTCGAAGATTAATTTCGTTGTTTTCTTTCTTTTGTTTAAATTCGCTGAAAAATCTTTAAAACTTAAGTCATACAACTAATAATTAACAGATTTGAATTCTGAGGTAATGCAGTGAGTACTTGTCGAAATCGCGAGCATGAGGTCTTGAACCACACCGAAGCACTGATACCCTTGAATACCTAGAAGTTTGGCGATGGCTAAACGTAGTTGTGTGCGGCGCTTCTTTGCATAAAACGGTGTGTCTGACTAATGAGGGGTTGTTGGTCAATAGACTGGCCTGAACTTGTAAAAAATACTGCTTACTGAGTGTCCAGATGGATGAAGAGAGTAGCGATGGCGGTCACGCACAGAAGTGCGTGAACAGACCGTCCCTCATGACTGAAATGTGTTGGAGGTTGCGGCGACGGTCGGCGAGCGTGGATCATTACGACTTACCACGCACCATTTTTACACATCAACTTTTTTTACACAATGCGCTTGCTCAGAACGAGGCTGAACCAACTTCAACCGTCTGGCTCTGGCTTCATCCCTGTATGTCGTCGGAAGCCTGGAAACTGCTTTCCTCGCTTGACTACGTCTCCACGTCTTCCGATGAAAACGCAGGTGGCGGTGGTGGTGGCAGCCTGAGACTCAGCGACTGTACAGGGCATCTGTGCCGCCTGAAACTCGTTGGCCCCTTTGCCCACCAGGTGCTCGCGGACTTACTCAAACAACCGGCTACCCCACAGCCCGACTCAGCAGGTGATTGGCCCTTGTGGCAGGCTCTTTGCGAATACCAAAAGGCCGGTCTGGTCCCGTGTGGTTGCGGCATTGGACTAATCTGTGAGCCCTTTCTTAAGACAAGGCAAGCTGTATTTCCTAATCACGTGCATGTATTTATTGAGGTATACTACCCGGTGATACCCGTGTTATCCCGTTTAGGCCGCGTTTAAAACTGTACAACCGAAACTGGCTGATTCCTGTGCCCGAGGCAGATGAGGTCCCAAGTCGTCTGAAGGGCGGCTTTGTCCCAAACTCCCTCTCCGCGGGTGAACTAGCCAAACTCAAGCGACAACTCTGCTCTCCAACCTCTAACGCACTTCTTTCTCGGTGGTTCGCTTCACCGGAGCCCTGTTGTGCGCCGGATGTAAGGCACTGCCACTCGATTCGCCTGTCTGCCTCTTCAAGGCGAAGCCAAGTTCCACTTTGTCGATTTTTTGTGGCGTCTTTTTCATGCATTTTCTTGTGTCAGTTGATTTGTCTGATTTGCCACACACACACACACACCTCGCTTTCGGCTGTGTTGGTTTACGTAGACTTTGTTAGCTTCTGCCACACTGTTACACGGTCATGAAGGGGCAGTACGATCCATGATGTGCTCTCAAAAGTAAATCCACCACCAGGCGGTTTTCATCTGAAGTTTGCTTTTAGTTTAGAGGTAGGGGGTTGTGGAGAGATGGTCAGGTGACGGAAATGGGTACTTCCAAATCGAGTTCTAACGTCATAGATTGTGAACAGCACGCTGAAATGGCGATTCGAGTGTTCACTTGTTGATCACTCAGACAAACATGCTCAGATTCTGTGGATTCCAGCAAACGCCTTAATTCGCTGGGTTTTTTTAATCCCATGCACATGCATTACTCGGCTGTTTGTGTCATAATCGTGAAATTCCATCTAAGCAGTCTGCCCTGGAAGTCGTCTCGATTCGACGATGATGACTTTGATAGAAATGAATGTTTAATGGTAATTTAAGTTCCCGTGGGCTGACGGATTCGTATGGGTACTTAGACAAACAACCAACACACTTACCCCATAGGATGATACGCAGGTAATTTTCGGAGACAGGATTCAGTCACAGCATCCGATTTAAAAAAGCCAATCTTCTTGATGTGTGTCACAATTTTGTTATCTATGGTGCGAGTCGCACTCACACAATGTTCTCACTTTCCAGGCCGGTATTCCTGTATTGCTGATCCAGAATGGAACCCCGCCCCTGGCCAGCCAGAAGTCTCAATGCATCGGTTGGGACATCGTGATGCCTCGTCAACTAAGGACCACCTCCACAGAGGACGGGACTACTCAGCCGACGTCGTCGTCGTCGGTGGATACGTCGGCTCCCCGTGACCTTGTGATAAGTTGTGTGTACCGCGGAGTGCGTGTTGGTGGGCTCCGGGATCAGCTGCGATGGGCGACCATCACCACCGAGGGCGCCGGACGAGTTGACGCCTTCCCCTACGCTCTCTGGCCCGACACACCGGCAGCCCGCCTCGTCACAGACAACCACACGCATCTGAAAGTTGGGCCAGCAGCCGACGGGTGGGTCTCGTTCTCCGTTGGGCGGCTTCCTTTTCAAGCTCTTCTTCCCTAGATTTGATTATCAAGCTGTACTCGAGTTGTGTTTATGACGAAATTGAAATCGCCCACCATAAACGCAAGGAACGCCTGAGTTACTCAAATTGTTGTGGTCAAGTTTCCCAAGAGTTATAGTCATTTGTAGTGGCTCTTAGCACTACGTTATAACCCTCTGGTTAACAGCCCCTGACGATCCGAGAGGCGACAGAGGATATGATCGTTTACTGGCGTCACGCCACCCAAGTGTGTCTTAGTGTTTGGATGCGTGAGCGGATGACAGGGTCACACTAGGTCCGCCAGATAGTATTTACCTGTGAAGAAGCAGGCACGAGATGACGGACACACAACGGTCCAATGTGCGTAGCAAGCCGTATGCTCTAGATGCAGGTTGTTAACCCGTGCAGGTCGGGTGAAGTAGTAAAAGTACAAACAATTGAGAGGTCAGATGATTGGTGAGCAGCGTGGAGGAGGGGGAGTGGGTGTCCGCTTGTGTGATGGGAGTACTGAGAAAACGGGCTAGGCAGCGTGAGTGTGCGGTGACAGATGTGGGGAATGTGAATCAACACGATCCACTGCAACTTGACTCGCATCATCATTACATGCACGTGCACCTCAGAAACCCCCAATGCACTTGCTTTAATTTTGAAACGTTTGGGCGACCGAGTAAACGTGATGTTGGGTCTTGTCCTCGTTGTTTTTACTTAAACTCATCGCTTTCAGACGCCTGACGAGTGACGCTAAACGACGGGCACGAATCAAATTTCGCAACTCAGCGCCAACCTCCAATGACTGGCTTCGCCTGATGCAGTCGTGTCAGGTGGTACCAGAGGACGTCCAAGATTCATTTTACTTCGTGTTGCGGGACAAGGCCATGCTCGTTTTGGTTGTTCGGCGTCTCCTGGCTGGTGACCCACAGGCCCGTCACCTGACCGTTGAACACATGACGCGATACGACCCCCTTCTACCCAGGGCGCTTATCATGGTTGGTTACTCTGATCTCTTGCGTTTGTAATCTCGCCTAAATACACTAAACGACGTAATTTTAGTGAAGCCACTATTCCACTCTTTCCTTCCCTTCAGGTAAAACTGGAGGCGGTCTCGCGTGGCATTCCTGGACCAAGGGCCGAGATTTTTGCGCCACTGAGCACAGACGATCTTTCACTGGGCCCTATTGCCGAAGACCCCGCCCGGAAGTTGTTAGGCTTTGTGGACGAGGGTGCCTACGCGTTTTCCCATGGCTCCTGCGTAGCAGTGGGGTTCATTAGTCTCGCCGCCGCGTGTTGCATTCCTCTCACCGAGCGCCTTCCGAACGGGCTAAAAGTGGTTCTCTTCAGAAGCTCAAAATCTGGCCAATTGCATAGTGCAAAGCTAACCGTTATAATCTAAACAAATACAGAAGCTTCCCCGTCTTACTCGTTTTTACGCATTGGGTCGGCACTTTCTCGCCCCGGTACAGCCAGTAGAGTAGGCCGACCGCGCACCACAGACCGACACACTAGCGATCGCGGAGCGTAACGCTGGGCTCTGAAATCACGGCAGTACCTCCGTGCGGGGCGACATTACATTGACGAGACTGCAACGCTGCCACCGAACTGCTTGGCAAGCGCTAACTGGGCCTGTGCCCACCTCACTAGGCACCCAAATATTTACACTTGAACGCTAAGACCCAAGGACCAGACTTTCCCCTCCAAAATTGAATTCAAAGACAAGTTTTTTTTAAAAAAGATGATAGTTTAATTTTTTTGCATCACAAAGAACCTCACAGGATGACGAACGATCCAACACTGAGAAGCGGCACGAATCAGCAGAAAAAGGCCAAACGGTCACTCGCCTGAAGGAGAGAAACGGGGAGTTTTGATGTCAACAAGCAAATCGCAGTAATCAGACTACAAATCATCAGCAGTATCAGGTGACGAAAAATGGTCATCACAAACTAGCACTCACGCGCTATTAGTGTCCTTCCAAATAGGTAGGGCATGCAGTAAATGCATCACTTTCCTCGTGAGTCTACAACTAAATTAACGTAATCTCAAAGTGGGCACAATAAGTGGAAAGCTGAACAGGTTAAAGGATAATCAGATCACATATTCAGCATGTTTTGCTTATGAGACGAAAAATAAACATCATCTATGTTGGTGTAATGTACTACGTCCAACACTTTGGTGGCACGAAGATTTGATATTCCACAAATACGGCATACGCCTCAGCACCGAGGCGCACTTGATATTGTGGATCCAAATGGTAAACTCTTGGCAGACATACCCGACTTTGTTCACAACATTTGCAAAGACAAGGGCCCTCAGATCTCGGTCCGCATGCTGTTTCCAGTGTCACCCTTTCCGACGAGAGATCATTAACTATTGATATGAACAAAAGATGCCGCTATTGTCCGCAGCCACGTTGGACCTGTAAAATGAAAAGGCAACTTAACAATGGTCAAAGAATCAGGCGTTATACTCATCATTAAGACTAAGAGAGAGGAACAACTTCTCATCACACGACACGTACCACGCCGCCGAACATTGCACTGGTTACAACCAGTCAACCAAGTAAAACAAAGAGAGCGGCCTTGGAAGCTTCTTCATTTAGAGGTGTGTATTTTTAGTTGATCTGTTCTCTTTTTAATAATCACTGACTGTGCATATTTTTTCGCACAAATTTTAGTGGTTTGCCGCTAAAATGTAGACTTCATCAAATATACCAGTTTAAAATACTGCAGATGAAATACACATTTTAGCGCAAAGTTTATCGATAATCTTACCTTTTGAACAGCAAAAAAAAGTTGCGTACTGATTTTAATAAAATATAGATGAAATCACTGCCCGTTGTATTTCTTATTCTAGCTCGTTACAAATCAATTTCCCGTCGAATTTGAAATAGTAATAACATCAAAGCAGTTATAAGCAATCAGGAGTTTAAAAAATGGTAGATTTCCCTATTTTTGTTAAATTGTGCAACAAGTTCATTTTTGGATCTTCACCTGACAGTAGGATAATCCACTTTATTCATGTCTTTGTAAGCTTATGTCATTGAATTTAAATTTTCACGTTTCTTTTGTCGCCTTGTAAATATTTTTATTTACTATATGGTACTATGTATATGAATTATTAGTTTTTCAAAGCATTACGTTCACAGAAAATTGACAATTTGTTCGTCTTTTGCCAATTCATTTATTTGTCCTGCTATGGTAAATTGTCGATAAGTAAAAAGCCTCAGATTGTTTCCTAGTTATTTTGAAATCACCACTAGTTATAAATTCCACGGGCATCATTTAACTGGAATTAAACACACAGGCCTTTCTGAGTTTTGATCAATTTTAGCATATTCAAAGAGCAAATTGTTTGTTGGAATTGGACTTTATTTATCAACTTCTTTAATGCAACTTGATCTAAAATTTGACTGAGATTATTGTTATAGTGCTTAGCCACATATGACAGATAGCAATAATATAAACATCTATAAGTGCTTTTTGATCGAATACAGATTCTTTGCAAGAAGGTTGTCAGATTAATGTAATGTCTCTGGTTTTTTTCTAAAAAGAATAGAGAATATGAAAACTTGTAAAATGAAATAGCGGCTTCAAAATTAACTAACAGTAAAGTATCTGTTACTTTAAGTTTCAGCTGTAGCAGTAGTAGGGCTTTCTTCCATTGTTTCAGTCTAGCCACTGCTATCTCTTTACTTCAGACTCTGAAGTCTGGTAAGTATTTTTTTCTGAAATGCTGTCTCATTTAATTGAACAAAATTTTCAAATGACAACGTACAATCCTAAACCAAATTCCACCTGTGAATCATTGTCTCCAAGTGACACTTAATTCATTAAAAGCACAACGACTCTGAATTTCCCGATAAAATCTTCTTATTTTGTACAACTCACTTCACATGGATATTCATGTGATTGTTAAAAATTTTGCATCTCTTAAATTCAATCTCTTGTTCACTCATTTTAGAAACATTATTGTACATGAATGGCCTACTACACAACAAACATGTAAATTTTTCTGATTGCTCCTCGCCATGATACATGGCACACTGTCTTCGAAAAGGGAAGTTTGGCGATCGATTCTGCTACAAAAAGATGCACTTTGGTAAATGGAAGTTTAAATCAGTTTTTGTATTGTGGGTTCAGCATTTCCGAGACTGGATCTACCAGGCGTTGGCAATTTTCTGTTTTCACTTGTCATTTTGCATGAATGCACGTAATTACTTGCGTTAAAATCTGCCGGCTCCTTCCCAATGAGTGTATTCTTCATCCAAATTATTCTAGTGGCAGTGCGTATATTCATTACCAATCCAACCATTGTTTTTTTAAATTATCTCGTTTTGAGTGAAGTTCGTAGTCTAAAATTAGTTGAATAACAGATATACAGTGGCTTTGCTTATTGACTAATTACCCCACAATTAGTTCTTATGTATAAAAGAGCTGGTTTATCATCTCTCCTATTGTCTACATCCACTCACTCCATCATTGTGAAAGGATGACGCCTGCAACGCTTTCAATACTTCAGTACGTATGACACCAAGGACTATATTTTTTTGGTGTGGTGCCTCATTGCGATAATTGGTGTGTGGTATTGTAGAGTGAACGGGTGAGTTCGTGACGTCACGTGGGCCTAGGGTGTATTAATGCGTTAAAGCACTGATTTCTCTTCTGGGTTACATACGAACGGCGAAGAAGCAACATTACTTTGTATTCAACTCTGAACAAACGGGTTTAAAAAAACTACAACATGTTCGTTCTAAGGTTTTAAAAGTCGGAGACCATAACCTACAGATTTCAATCGTTAAATGTCATACGTTAAACATATGCAACAAACGTGCGGTGTGCGAATGTTTGTTTTGAATATATCTCGTCTAAAGAGCGAATAGATTCGAAACAAGGAATGAATCAATTAGAAGATTGCGAATGTAAAACGTTTCATACAGTCTAAGGGGCTCTTTGCATTATGGATTCATCAAAATGACTTTGCCACGGAAAATCCCCATCACTGGTAACGCCAAAACCGCCATGGCAATGCGGAAGTACCTGTCAACGGATGAGAGCCACTCGTGTGTCTCGCCCTAAACGCCCACGTAGCCATTGGCTTTCGTAAGTGTTGCGACATCAAGGTGAAGTGCTGCGTTTTCTCTTCATCCGAGAGCACAATTATGTTGAGGTGGATGTGTGCCACGACCATCAAATACACCCTCGCGCTAGCTTCGTCTGACCGTTGGGATTTATCACCTTTAGTGCACTGCAAGTGTCTGCATCTGAGAAAAACAGTACATTCGTCTATTCCAGCTGCATTCAGTGGAGCGTTATCGCGAAGCATTGCCTACACATTGCGGTAAGTTACGCCTTTTTGAAATCGACAAGTGCATGTACCGATAGACAGCATGGTTGTATTAGAAATTGATTCTGGAATAATATCCAGGCTCTGTGGTGGGGATCGTGATACAATGCAGTTCTACCACTGCATTCACTTTCACGCCATCAACACGCATTCATATCGTAATACCTTGGGCATAAGACATGGTGCAGTGAAGTTGCATGATGATGTCTTGATGAAATGTGTACGATGGTGATGATGTTGATGGGGCAGATAAGAGAACATTTGTCGAAATGTAGCATTGAAAAGCCCAAAAAATCTTAAGCACATAAGCCTACCATGCACTTGCTTCCCTTACACGAATTTTCAAATAATTTAACTCAATATTGCAACGCCCTGATCATTGTTTTGCATTCACGCGCCAGTCAATTATCATCTAGAATGTAGCGGTTGTCAGAGGTAGTGATATACCTTTACCAATGTCAATTGCATAATTCAGGTGATGATGAGCCAAAGTAGGAAGCTGCGCTTTCAGACCCACAATGTGTACAAGCACGTTGACTTAAACCAGGGAAATGAACTA